AATTATATATTTTATAAAATTTATAAGTATTAAAATTAAATTAATGTTCTTTTAATTATTAAATTTTTAAATTACTTTTAAAATACTTAATAAAGCCTTTTTTTTAAATAAAAAATTTATTTTAATAAGTTTATAATATTTAATTATATAAAATAAATTAAATCTTTTTTTTAAATAAAAACTTTAATTAATTATAAATATATTTTTTTAAATTATAATTATTTTAATTATAATATAATTAAATATAAATAAAATTTAAATATTTTAAAAAACTAGCTTAAATATTTTTAAATAAATTAAGGAATATTAATAACTTTTTTAACTTAAAAGTTATTAATAAGTTATTTAAAAAAAGTTATTTAAGCTTATTATATTAATATATATTATAATCTTAAAAAGTATAATTATAATAAATTTTAAGTAACTTATTTTTTTTTAAAAAAAATATTAAAATTATAATTTATACTTTATTATTATTAAGATTACTTTAATTAAGTTTTATTAAAAATTATTAAATAAAATTTATAATTTTTAATTTAATTATTTTAAAATTACTTTATTATTTATTATAAAAAAAAGCTTTAATATTTTATTAAAATAACTTAAATTTATTTTTAAATTTAATTAAATTAAGCTTTAACTTTATAAACCTTTTAATAAACTTATTTATATTTTATAAATTTTAATTATATTTTTTAATAATATTAATATAATTAAATTTAAATAAAGATTATTAAATTTATAAATTTTTATTTTAAAGATAATTTAAAAAATTAAAATTATTTTAGCTTTTTTAAAAGAATTTTTTTTTAAATTAAATAAATTTTAATTAAAATTATTTTATATAAATAAATAATTATTTTACTTAAAATATTTAAATTTTTAATTAATAACTTTTAATAAAGTATATTTAAAATTTAATTAAAAATATTCTTTATTAACTTATAAATAATTCTTTTTTTTATTAATTATTTTTTTAAATATAATAAAAGTATTTTATAAAAAAGTTAAGTTATAAAAAAAGAAATATTATTTATATTATTAAGTTTTTAATTATATTTTATAATTTTCTTTTTATATTTTTAAGTTATTATAAAAGTTATTATAAATAATACTTTTAATAATTATAATTAAGTTTATATAATAAATTTAATTATTAAATTTATAAAAAATAAAAAGCTTTTCTTTTTAATTTTTTTAAATATATTATTTAATAATAATACTTTTAATTATTTTTATTAAGTTTAAAATAATATAATATTACTTAAGTAATTTTAAGATTTAATTATTTAAATAAAAAAATTAATAAGTAATAATTTTAAAATTATTTAAAATCTTAATATTATTAATTTTATTAAATTTTAAAATATTTAAATTATAACGTAAAGCACTAATAAGCAGGATACCTCACCAAGCGAGATACTTTTCAGCACTAAAACCATAATAACCTAAATTATAGCATTATAATAAAAAAAATTAATTAAATTTAATTAAAATTAAAATTTGCAAATGATTTTATATCTTTCTTATAGGTTTATGCATTATGCCTAGTCTTGCTGTAGTTATTATATTATCTTTTTATTAGTTTGCCGCAGATTGCTTTATTAACACTACTATTAATTTTATTAGCTAGCCGCTTCTTCTTTTCCTTTTTATTTATTATCTCCCTTACTTCTTATGTAGTAAGTGCTCCTCCATTCTATATATATATTCTTTTGGCCTTATAATGCTTAGAAAGTGCTGCATTTATAGCTTAAAGATTGTTGGTTTCTTAAGTTAAAAGTATAATTATATGGATTAATAATTATATACCCTTTGCTAATTAATTAATAATAACTAAAATTAATATTAGGAAGCTTCCTTAATAACGAGAGATTCATTCTTTAATTAAAGTTAATTAAGAAACTACTTATATTAAGTTATATGGCATTTAAAAAACTTAAGGTGCAGGTAGTATTAGGGAGCTTAGCTATATTATTAATATTTAAATCTTAATATTTAGCTTGGAAAGTATAGCTTTTTAATTAAATAAGATTAAACCTATACCTTTAAAAGCTTCTTTAATAATTCTTAGCTTAAAAACCTTATTATATATAATGTAAAAGGTAAGAAAGAACTTAGTTTTATTAATATATATAATTTAAGCCTTGCTAAATTAATTAATTTCCTTATTATATGCCTTCTTTAGCGGATTAAAATACTTAATATTTAATAGTTAAAGTAAATAAGATAAATAAGGAGGTATATAAAGAGTAATAATATTCTTTAACTTATAATATCGCTTAAAATTTATAAAATGGTAGCTTTTATGCTTATTAAGAAGCAATAGCTAATAAATACCCTTTTTTCATAATGTAATATGTTTTTTAAAGTGCTAAATCCATTTTATAGCAATAGCATTAATTATTTATTTATTTAAACTTATATTAATAACTTAGTTATTTAAAAGGCTGCCCTTGGTATATTAGCTTGCAAGGTATATCTTAGCCTTAATAATTAGGAATAGCGGTTTACATTACCTATCCTTATTAATTAATTTAATAGCTATTGCTTATTATTAATTCCTAAGCTATATTTATTTTGCTTATCCTTGTTAATTAAAACGTATAATTATTATTTTAGGTAATTTAATACTTATTATAAAGCTTAACTTATTAAAGTTATATATATTATAATCTTAAATCTTATATTTATTATATATATTAAATATAAGGTTAAATTATGCATTTATTATATTAGGATCTTTGCATAAGGCCCTTTGGTAATTATATATATAATTAATGCATATTTTAAAATATAATTTTAATAGGATAAGTCTTTTTACTTAGTTAATCTTAATAGCGTTGCCGCTATAATTGCAAAGCAAGGAATTCGCTATATCTTCTATATTCTTAAGGATAAGTGAATATCCTTGCGAATCTTAATTAAGTATATATTAAATAAGTACCTCCTTTTTTATTTTTATTAATCTTTTGTTATTAGGGTGGGTATTGCATTATGCGGTTTGCTTAGCTATTTTATAAACAAGTGTTAAGTAAGGGATATGGTATTTCTTAGCTATGCATTAAATGCTTAATTTTAAGTTGGATTTAATAGCTTGGATGGTAAACTAGATATTGCTTTTTTTTATTTTATTTATTGTAAGATATGGCGCGAGAAAACGCGTTAGGAAGTTAAATTAAAGCGGTTTGTGGAAAAGTGTCTTGCTTGGTGGGGTGTCTTGCTTGTTGGTGCTTTACGTTAAATTATAAATAAAATTATTTATAATAAAATTATTATATTAATAAAAAATAAAACTTTTAAAATATTAATTTAAGTTTTTAATTTATTATTAATAATAAACTATAAGATTTAATTAAAGCAAGATTAATATTTTAATTAATAATAAATAAAATTAAGTTTTTTTTTTTAATAAATTTCTTAAGATTTTTTTTTTAGCTTTAAGTAAAAAAAAAATTAATTTTTAAAGTTTAAAAATATTTTTAAAATAAAAATAAGTTTAAAAAAGTTTTAAGCTTAAAAGTATAATATATATATTATAATAAGTTTTATTAAAATAATAATAAAATAAAGAAACTTAAAAATAATAATATTTTTAATTAAAATAATTATTTTTAAGAAATTTATTTTTAATATTATTATAAAATACTTAAATTAAAGTTTAAAAAATAAAAGTATTAATAAATATAATAAATAAAATAAACTTAATAAAAAAATCTTTTATTAAAAAATAAATATTATAAAATTATAATAATAAAAATTTTTAAATTTATATTTAATACTTTATTTATTAATATTATATTAAATTCTTAATAAATTAAATTTAAATTTAATTAAAGCTTAAATAACATTATATTTTAAATTTAAGCCTTTTATATAATTTAATTAATATAAAAATATATAATATAATATTATTTATTAAACTTATAAATAAATAAAATAAATATTTTAATTTTATATAATAACTTTTTTTATTTTAAATTTAAAATTATAATAATAATAATAAATATTAATTAAAAACTTAAAATATTTTTAATTAATTTTAAATAATATTTATAAAGTTTAAATTTATTATTTTAATTTTAAGTTTATATTATTATTATATTTAAATATAATATTTAATAAAAAACTTAAAATAAATTTAAAGCTTAATAATTTATAAATATTAAATTAAAGTAATATTTTATTTAAATATTAAAAATATAAAAGATATTTTAAAATTAAAAAATAATTTTAAAATATTTATAATATTATTATAAATTTAATTATATTTAATTGTTTTTATAATAAAATAAAAATAAATATAAGCTTTAATTAAAACTTTAAATTAAAATATAAAATAATTTAATAATATTTAATATAAAAATAAAAAAAAAATTAATAAATAATTAATTTATAATTAACTTTTTATTCTTTTTATTATTAATTAAAAATATATAAAATTAAAATCTTAGCTTAAGTTAAATTATTAATAAAAATAAGCTATTTAAATAAATAAAAAATAAGTTTTGCTAAATTCTCTTAAGAATAACTTAAGAAGGAGCTTTAATATAATAAAAAGGGAAAATAAAAATAAAAGGTTAAAAAAAAGATAAATATTTAAAAATTCTTAAAAATATGAAAAGCTTAATTAAAGCATGAAATATATAAAAAAAGAAAAGAGTTGATTTCTTAAAAAAATATTTAAAACAAGCGAAAAAGCTAGCTTTTTATAGCCAGCTGGAATCCAGCGCGATACCATTTCTCACGTATTTCCCTGCCCCCGCTAACAATATAACAACGTGGCGGCGTCATTAGCGTGGTTTTGGCGGTGTGGAATGCAAATGAGTGTATAGGCTAAGCAACTGCCTGACAGGGGGCGTTATCGCTCCCAACCTTATCGCCCCCAGGCGTTTCTTATAAAACATAAGCACTGACCTCAAGACATTACCGGCATTTGCAAACGGCCTCTCTCGCCAATGACTGTGGAACAAAACAACTGACATCTATCAGCATACACAATGGATGGCATAGTTCGTTCGTTCAACCGCCTTGCTCGACCGCGGACGACTCCCAGTGGCCTGCCAAACCACTGGGTCTTCGGCGTGCGCCACGTGCCGCTGGAGCCGCCTGGCGATCTCGTTGTCGCCGTTCACCCCCGCAGTGATTTCCTCCTTCAAGGCGGGCCTGGACAGATCCTGTCTTCGTCGAGCGTCTCAGAGAAAGCACAGGCTCTGCTTCCCTTCCTGCTCGACGCTTTTGTCAAGGGTAGCCAGTCCCCCCTCAGCCACCAGCCAACCGATCCCCCGCCGTTTGCTCCATGGACCTGGGCGACCGAGGACCCCGAGCTGGCGAAGGCTCTTGAGGAGCTGCTCAGCCAGCGTGGTATTGTCAATGAGCTTTGCCGGGTAGGCACTTGCTCCGAGGTTGACAAGAACATCCTTGAGGAAGCATGGTCTGGATTTTACCGAAACATGACATCCCTCACAGGCGGAGGCTCTGATGTCACTCCAGGAGACACTACGAAATGCCATGGCTGTGGGTTGAGTGGCGAGAGCTTCTCAGAACCACTGAAAAAGTGTTCTGCGTGCGGCAGGGCGTGGTATCACTCGCAGGATTGCCAGCGGAAGCACTGGAAGAAGCACAAGCCGGCTTGTCTCGCGAACCGTCCCACGAACACAAAAGCCAACGCTGCCAGCTCTGCTTCCACCACCAGCGCCGCCAGCTCCAAGGTGGACGCACACAAATACTTCAACACGACTGCGCGCTCGTCGCCTGAGGCACAGGCGCTGATGAAGACCCTGTACCTAAGTTTCCCATCGTCTCCTGCGGCGACTGAGGGCATAGGGTGAGCCACTCGACCACCACAGACCATTCAAGGTCAAGAAGCTGACTAGGTACAGCAAACCACTCCGAAGCCTGGTCTAAACAGGCAAAGACACACCGGAGAACATGCAGACTCTGTTTGGCCCCGATTGGCGCACCAGCATTGGCAAAGACCACGATGAAACCCGCCTCGACGTCCTGCTCGACCCGCCCCGCGGCTCTCCAAGCTACACCCGGCACCAGTGGCTGAACCCCGACAACAGGCTGGAACGCTCGCCCCGACCAGCCACGGACGCCGAGCAGCAGATGATTGGAAAGGTCAGGGAGATGCAGGATGCAGTCCGCCGGAGGATTGGGGCCGGCAAGTCGCCTTCCTCGGCTGACATGCGGGCCATCTTGAGCTCCTACGGCGCGGACTGGACCTCGCATGTGCAGACGTACACGCTTGCGATCAACACGATGGATCAGGGCGTTCGGCGGTGATGTGACTGTGTCTGGGGTATGTTCTCATATCCAGTGAGTTCTACCATCATCTCTGTCGATCCTGACATATATGATTTCTCACTGCGGAAAAGAAAGGGAAATAATTGGGGCCAGATCAAGCTAGACTGCTCAATTCACGCCGCACTCCTTCTCTTCGCTCTCACCATCAGAGGTCCCTCCAAGTCACTGATACCGACACTAATGAGGGGCGGAAGAACGCCTCGATATTCACCACGCGAAGCTGACTCTTGCTCATCCCCGTTGGCTAGACAGAAATCAAACTCTTGCAACAGGGTGCTCGCCAACTTGTAGATGTTGGTCTGGGCTACGGTCTTGCCGATGCATTGCCGCCCTCCAAGGCCAAAGTGCATAAGATACCTGGCTCGCTTCGCATTATCTGGATGTTCCCATCGGTCCGGGTCGAATACGTTGTGGTCGGCGCCCCAGACTTCTGGGTCGTGGTGGAAGGCATGATTACAGACTGCGACTGAGGTCTGAGTAGTACGTTAGTTCCGACCAGCATATCGGACACAGTAATATTGTGACCTACCCCTTGTTCAATGTGCTCCCCGGCAATGATGACCCCCTCAGGTGCCGTGACTCTACGAGGGAGTGGCATAGTGAAGACCGGTGTAGTGCGGAAATTCTCTCTTACACATTGCCGGAGGAAAGGCAATGACGCTTCCACTTCGGTGACTGAGTACGCCACCTTGTTTGAGCCCAAGTCCGGAAGCTTGCTCCTAATCTCATCCACGCATCTGCTCATGGTCTCCGGGCTGTGCAGCAGGTTCCAGAATAACAATGTCGATGTTGCACTGGTTGTATGTGTCCCTGCGATACTATTTCCATGCACCGTCAGTTAATCACGAGTTGCACAATAAGGAGTAGCAGATAATGATATAGGCTCACATGAACCCGAAGGCCTCCGTTTCTAGGTCCGTCTGAGTGAGGAGCTCGCCAGTCTCTGGGTCTTTCGCGAGGATGAGATTGGTAAGAATGTCTTTCCTCTGCCCGTCGGCGCCCTGGGATTTCTCCTCTTCCAGCGCTGCCATTCTCTTCTTGACGCAGCGAGAAGCCAAGGAGGCACATGCTGCCCTGCCTTTGAAAAGCGCTTGTAGGCCCTTGTGAGGAACCTTTGGTAGCCATTTCTTCAGGGTAAAGGTCATCGTGGGCCATGCTCCAGTAACGGCAGCGAGTAGACTATGCTCGATCACCGGCGGAACCAGGGACTCGTCATCCGCGACTTGGACCCCAAAGGACTGGCTGAAAGCCAACTCTCCGAGGACGTCAACTACGTAAAACTGCAGGAGCTTTTTCAAATTGAACGCTTCTCCTCGGTCAGCATATGCTGCGATCTTGTTTCTGAGAATCACAATATTCTCGTCAAGATATTGCTCCATCTCCTTGACATAGCTGATGGAGAAGCTGTGGGACATGTGACGCCTGCGGATGGAATGTTTCTATACACATATTAGCTTGATGCCAACGCGTGCACCTGGCCACTATACGCACTGCTTCATCTCTCATCCCAAATACGTTCGGATGAGCTGCTCCAAACGCATCATAATATTCGGTCTTCGGCATCATTCGCCCGCCTTTCTGATAGATGGAGGGGACTGCGTCCTCGGCCGTGATGCTGAGTTTATCGGGGCCGTACCGAACAAATTGCCCATACTTGGCGTGCAGCTCTGTCAAATTGTACGGTTGTTTGAGAGTCAAGAATTGATGAACTTGCCAGAGGTCGGTCACTGATGCCAGGAATGGACCAGGGAAACGGGACAGTGGGTGAAAATACACCTGGTACACAACATAGCCTACGATCCCGAGGACAAGGCAGACGCCGACTGCTGGCAGAGCTTTGCTCAGGCTCGGGAGAAATTGTTCAAGGAGTGAAACCATTGTGAAAGCCGGTTGTGGTCAACTCAATGATGGCACAGGGGATCTATGGTATCGACCCCTTTAAAGACAATTCGTTCAACATTAATCATTCTGTGCAGGCACAGTTCTTCTGGTCAATCGGCTTGCACCAACCCGATTGGCTGGTTTTGACGACCTGAACCTGGTGGCCGAGGTTGACCAGGCGAACTTTATGCGCTGAACCCCTCATGCCCCATTCTGGCTCTCGGCTCTTTTGCAATCGCCGATTTCCACAGGGCTCTCTTTTTTGTTATCCCCACGTCTTCGCAGAGCCAACCCGGGTATTCCGACCACCGGGAACGCACTACCCGATTGGGCGATATCTGCATGCTTCACGCTCTGCTTGGCTGTCTCTTGTGCGGAATGGCCGGTCACGTAGCGCGGGTGAATGAATTCCTTGGTGATTTGCTCTTATAAGCGCCGTAGCAATTGTTGATTTGTTTAACTTTATTGGCAGATAGTGATGCTGTCTGAGCGGTAGACAGTGATTTGACCTCCCTCAATCAATCAAGGTCATTGTCCCGGGAGGTCCATGGCTTCTATAAAGTAATGGCCGAACTCACTAACGTCTCGCCAAATCCTTCCTTCTCGAGGCTGCTTTCCAAACTTTTCTCTCATCAGGAGTCGAACCGATGTCTCAATGTTCTTCTCGGCATGCCAGCATTAGAATCGCATACAACATTCGCAATCTGGACAGACAACACACCTTGTATGAGTTAGGGTCCTGTTCGTCCTGATTGTGTTTGACAAAAGCTTGATCGGTATCTGAGTCTCTTTCCATTCCTAGAATTCAACGCATGTTTTGGTTAGATACCGTAAAGTTTAGGAAATGCGAGTAATAATTTGGACTAATGGGGAGGTCGTTCAGCAAGGGATGAGCTACCTTTATTCCTGTCGAAGTGGAACAAGGGTGGTGTGATACTAATGCAGTTCATATAGAGCCAGCAAATTGTTGGCCAGATCAGTGTCGAAATTACTAACGACTCTATCTAGACCACCGTGGTAGCTACCGAATCCAGTCAGTTAGCAGCCAGAGTCACTTGAGTCACTTAATTGCGTGATACTTTGTACTCCGGTGTTTAGCAGAGCGACATACAGGATTTTTTGAGCTCCGGCATAGCTCACGGCATATGCATAGGTGCAAAGCGGAAAGTCGCTCGGGTGAATGACGCGAGAATGCTCTGGAAACTCCTTGACAGAATTGAACCCCGGGCTGAGATCTTGGCGCGACGGGACAGTTGGGTCTTGGAATACAATCTTCCGCTCGTCGTCTTTTGGGAATCTGCACACCAACCTGACATTAGATGCAAAGGAGACTTGGACCGAATGGGCTTTGCTTATGAAACATCGAACCTACCTCTCTCCGACGTTGCCCAACCATAGAACACTATACTCAGCAAATTCAGCACCCTGTAGGTTCACTTTCACGGCCGACTTGGGTAGAAATCGTAGCAACTCACTCCCAATCTGCTGTTAATCTTGACTGATCTTGTTGAAACTCTTGTACAATCCGAGCCATCTGTTGTCTCACGTTGGCGTCCCAATCAACGTCGTCTTCGAGGATCAGTGCGGTCGCAATTTTCTCGTCAACAATCCTGGAAATCTTCAATTAGCTACGACGCAACATCAACCAGGGCATGTAGAGATGAAACTTTGGCTTACCTCTTCATAACATTCATATGTGCGCGCCAGCTCCCAACAAAGCCGGGCCCACCCATATCCGACTTGGGGATCTAACTCGGTGGGATGCTGAATCAGTACATGATATAATGGGCATATCAAGCGCATTCATGGAATTACAACCAGGTAATCTACCTTTGGAACCGTCTTCTCAAGGACATCTTCGCCTCTGACACCCGGGGCAATATCAATTTCCAGACCAGAAAGTACTGACATCAACGTCAATGCGTCCTGACGATCGGTTCGTTGAGGTAAGCTTATAGCATATATTTTCTGGAAACCAAGGGTTGAGTTGGTGGCTGGTGCATTCATCCCACTCGTGGTGCGATGTTCGATACCCGGGAACATCGAATCATGGCTCCAGAAGTTAAGGACTAAGAACCACACCGCGAATGCAGCGCATAACAATTGAAGAGGGAATCTCAACGCCATGCCGCGAGACACAAACCCTGTCGTTCGGAATGGCGGATGATCGGCTTTCCGCGAAAGCATATGTAGCCAAGAGGTTGACCGGCAACTGATCTACGCTGATCAATAGGTGATTGACTTCTGATATTCAGTAAGGGTCCTATAAGCCTGATGAATGAATTCGGGCTGCTTCAATGAGATAATGACGGGTTGACACGTGCGGTTGTGTTTACCACAAAGTTAAATGCAAGTCCCGGCTCAGGAGCCGACTCACGCCAAAAGCATGAACAGGTCTCAAAATCATGTTGTCGGAGAATCGATGAGGGAGATTAGGTTTGATGCTTGGTCGTAGGGCTGGGCGTCATGGCCACGAGCACCTGAGACGTGCTCGGATCACTCCTGGGGTGAATGACTCGACGCTTCTGTAGCCGCGTGTTCATCGATGCCGCATTGGCATTCCGTACGGTGCTTTCCGGTGTGGCACGTACAATATAAACGGGGCGGGCGATTCAGGAACCTTACCCTAGTGTTACATCTCGCTGGATTCATCTGACCGGAGGAATACACTACGGAAGAGAAATACTGAGCTTTGATGAATGTTTCAGACGTCGGTCCTGGGGAGGAATTGTTTTGGCCCCCTTACCCACAGAGGAGACTCACAGGAAGCCAAACATGTTTAAGAGCCGCCCCCACAATGCGAATTCATCCAAGTCACCTTACCTATTTTCCACCGAGCCCACCCATATGGCGCATCCTTTGTACAAAAAGGTTCATCGCTTATAGACATCATCAATATATTCAATCGGATATCCATTGATATGCCGTTTGAATTAGATCTCAAAACGAAATAAAAGAAATCGCCCTCTGCGGTTTCAGAGGTTGCTATGCCGCGGGTTGGGCATGGAGTAGTACGGCGTCATCAGCTTGGAGTACACGAATCCACCCTCCTAGCATCGAACCCCTTGCCAATATGCTCGCTCGTATTCCGTGCGCTTGACTTAGGACACGCGCTACTTGATGAAGTGCTTGTGTGGATCAGCCAAGGACCTTTTGCTAAGTGGGATGAGCATCCGACACATCACTGTCTGCCGTTTCAGTTGTGCAAATCAACCACAGTTGCACCCCCGATGCACAATTAGTCTAGGACAAATTTCATAATGTTAGGCGTATAAATTCTAGACCGCAGCTACGCTTCGGCTCTGACAATCTTGCTACTTCATACAGCTGTCTATTTCTTGCCGTCCGGAGTGATCAGATTGAAGCAGTCACCCATACATTAAACGAGTGGACTGTCTTGGTCCCGTGGACAAGCAAAATGTCGCCCCCGATACATCCACCAAGACAAAGAAAGGGTTTTACCAAGAGCCCCAAGTACTCTGATGTCAATCATTTCCAGATTGTCCAAGTTGAGGAAGACAAGGAGGATGAAATGTACTGCTCGGAATTGGTCAGACGTTTGATCATGTTCCAACCTATCACCGCCGCCGCTGCTGTGTTTACGGGTTACAGGTATTGGAAGCTTCAGTTCGCGCAGCTGTTGATGTTACAATCCCTCGGAATGAATATGAACACGCGTCTCTTATTCGCTGTCATCGACTTTATCGTGAACAGTAAGTTTACCCGCACCTAAGCAAAAAGATCCTTCCTTCGTAAAGGCTCCTAACAATTAGAATTTGTGTAGTGCCGACAACCTTCAAGGCTGTCCTGGACACGATTTCAATATTGACCCCTATGCCGCGGCGTCCACATCTAAAGCTTCGAGGCCACCTTGTCCCGACGGTGGACATTATAATCACTGCCTGCAACGAGCCTGTCGACGTTTGCCTTGACACAATTCGGGCTGCCATCAACATCGACTATCCTACCTCGCGATTCAGAGTCATTGTGGCAGACGACGGAGCAAGCAAGGAGCTCCAGAGCGGCGTCACTGAGCTGGCTAGATCGAAGCCAGAGGCACTGTTATTCTACACCGCACGCGTCAAGGGTGAAGATGACCGTCACAAGGCTGGAAACCTCAACCACGCCTTGAGATTCACAAGTTCACTGCCGGGAGGGCCTGCTGAGTATGTGTCGGGACTTGATGCGGATATGATCCCGATGAGAAACATGTTGCGAGCTCAGATGCCTCATCTTCTGCTCGATCCCAAGATGGGCCTGACGTGCCCGGCAGCAGTAAGCAGAAACCCCATCCTGCCCCCAATTACTGGCCGGGACAAAATGATTTGTCTTCTGGGCCTCAATCGACGCAGAAACTGACTCGAGCAATGTGAAGACTTTCTATAACGTCCCTGTGAACGATTGGCTGCTGCAATCTCAGACAGTGCACAACAAATGGGAGGAATTCTCGAGAGATAGAATCAACGATGCTTGGTGTACCGGCTCCGGATGGGTTGCCAGACGTTGCGCTATCGATGAACTCGGAGGAGTCCCAATGCAAACGATCGGGGAGGATGCTTTTATGTCCACTGGCATCTCCAATAACGGCTGGAGCACTGCCTTCATTCCGCAGTCTCTCCAATTTGGATTGGTGCCCGACACATATGGCAGTCATCTAAAGCAACACAGAAGATGGGTGAGTATCTTGCGAAATTCTTGCGCAATTCTCTCTCGACGCGAAAGATGTCACGTTTCAAGACACTGACTACGACATCTGTAGAAACTTGGTGGTCTGATCATTGGTATGGACAAAAGATTTGGCCTTTGGGGCAAGAATGTGAAAGGATTGAGCTGGAAGCAGCGACTCTGGTGGTTTTACTATCCTTTGAGGGCCTTGACACTACCACTCATGACTCTCGGCCTGTTCACTGCTCCCCTTTTCATGCTCGCCGGAACGCCATGGGTCGTCTACGCAACGAACAACGATCTTAAAGCCCTCACGCAAGCCTCAGCACTATCCTTCATCAGCACCTTCGCTCTCAAGTGCCATATGTCCTTGAAGACTGGTTATAGGGCCCACATGATGGAACAGTGCAATGAGATCTGGATCGCGCCTTGTAAGTGCCACTTTCGCAACGGAGAGCGACGCAATGTCTACCTTGTCGACTGACTAAACACCCGCGGCAGATCATACCATCACACAGCTGAAGACCTTTGTGTTCCCAACCTGGCTTGGGGGCCAGCTGCTGACTTTCGTGCCAACCGGATCCATCCCAAACCATCTGCACGAACGAAATGCCAAGAAGCGGGCGTCATTGCAGAGCCGGCTACGCTCGATCCTGATCAAAGACGGCGCGATGTTTCACCTGCTCTTCGTCGCATTCTGCGCCACCGCAGTAAGCTCGGTCATCGCAAGAGCACACCACCAGTTTCCCGAGCACGGGGCTCAATTTGGGATTTACCTTTTGACCCATCTGGGCTGGATGCCGATGCCGTGGTTGTTCTCGTTCTTTGCTTGCCTCACGCCCATCTTCTACGCCGTCTTCCCGCCGACTGTTCCGGAAAGAGAGGAGCTGCTGGTCAAAGATCCCCTTACTGGGGCTCGCTACCCCAAGAAGACTGCGAGAGGTGTTACTTGGGTTCCTGAGCTTCTTGGCTTTGAAAAAGTGCACATCATTGTACTTGTGTATTCCCTTTGCGTTCTATACCAAGTATCACGATGGTAACTCTTTCAGGCACCGTGAAATTAAAACCTTGGATCACTCTCGGCGGATAGGAATCAATCTTTATATAATGGCGCAAAGTTTGAAATATGTGAAAGCAATGATCAAGTCCAACTGTATTGAAAAACATGTCTGAGCGCGTGCACATCTTCGACATGTACAAGCAGATCCGTTATTTCTTCTAACCTGTAAAATTACTAGCTCATAATTTTGCACACTTGCGTCTTGCAATTTCACTTGCACGTTTCTCAGTGGAATAGGGAGTTTGTTCCCATGTGCCACCCTCAGGAAAATGATCTATTACTTACTTGCAAAGTACATCGTGCTCGTTGTTTCAGTGTCATTGGGTCCGTCCGCTTGGCGGCCCCTTGAAACTGTCCAGGTCCTGACTCGAACTCTCAAGGGTCCATTAAAAGAAAGCAGGTGGGACGATCGAAAAATGTCTGCTGGACGGTTTGGCGTATGTAATGACTCGAACTCCAATGTTGGCTCGAGAGCACGTCCAGAACCAGCTTCCGCTCATTTTTGATTCAACATTCGTTCTGGTTCAGGTCTAAAGGGCACTTCCAGCATGTTTCGTGCCAGAGGCATACTTCGTTTCGGTCTCATCTCCATTACTTTCATCGCGGCATTGTATAGCATACGGTTTTTCGCACCTCTCACAGGAGGACTTGGTCTACAAAGGACGGATCTGTGGCGGCCATTGCCTGATTGGGCCTCCCGAATCCAAGACACGACGAGCGCCGGATCAGCTGTGGTCATACCTAATATCGTGCATTATGTTTGGGCACTTAAAGACCCAGAAGGGGCTCTTGAGTTTCAGTTCAAACATTTCGTCAGCATTTATTCATCATATCTGTATCTCAGTCCAGATATGATATATATACACACGAATGCACGCCCTTCGGCCATCTCGACTGCACAGCATCATCAGAGCAGCTTCTGGACGCACAAGGTGTTTGAGATCCCCGGCGTCGCGGTCCGTCACATTGAGGTTCCAACACATACAAAGTATGGTGGCAAGCTCGAGCATATGGAGCACAGATCAGATTTTGTAAGGCCGGGCATTTTGAGAGATTTTGGCGGCATCTATCTGGACTTCGACGTTGTCCCCATCCGGGACATGAAGCCACTACGCGAGAGTGGCTTCAGGAATGTCTTTGGCCACGAATTTGGCGAGAAGGTTAATAACGGCGTCATGCTGTCTGTCAAGGGAAGCCGCTTCATGGACATCTTTGACAGAGACCAACACGAGGTCTTCAGCGGGTGGTGGATCGAGCACAGCGTTCTGCAGCTCACGAGGATGGCAAATGCCTTGATGGCTGTCCCCAATGAAGTCCTGATCCTTGAACGTCATGCCTTCATACCCGACGGCTTTGATGACGAAAGACATGCGCGTCTATTCCGCATACATGCAGAGCCAGCGGTGGGCATGGATTACGAGCAGGTTAGCCTGGAAGACATGGCTGATGAAGGATTTTCATATTGGAACTGGAGCAAGTCCAGGCGGAGACAAGACTGGGAGCGCGACTACTCAAAGTCATATACGATACACGCACTTTCTCCTCCACTTCATGTAGCAAATCGGACCCCCGATTGCTTGGAGATATCGTGGGACTATGTAATGGAGAGGACGAGCAACTACGCAGCGCAGATTTATCCAGCTATGTTACATGCTGACAACAAAATGTCTATCACTGCATCCCTGACTAGAAATAGCTAGGTCACAACTCAAACGAAGTCTATATATTGTATAGAGGTTATACAGGAGCAGAACGAACATCCTTGACATTCCTAGCCTTTAGAATAAAACCCGCTTCACTTTCCTGATTCCCGAGATATCCCACTCTCTAGGCTTCGTGCGGTCCATCATCTCCATCCACTCTGCATCTTTCCTGCCGCAAGCCATCATCTCGCTGTACTCCCAGTAATCCGGGTAGAAACCTGCAGATTCAAAATCAACAAGACCTGTAATACGCACTCCAGAACAATCTTCGGTGTCTTGCTCCACGAGAATGTTGCGCGGGTGGATGTCTCCGTGTGTGAAAACTGAAACATCAGACCGCGGCAGCATCTCATAGACCCCCTTTCCTTCAGGGTACGACAGGCCGTTGTTGTTCACGTAGCGCTCCCATATGCGTGCACGTAGGTCTTCATCGTTCCTTATCGCGGGATGGTTGTCATGCTCGTCGCCAAGAAGTGTTTGGATTATCTTTGACGTCCCATCGGCTGCGAGGTAGAAAGCGCCGTCATCCGTCTCTGGTCGAGGTATTTCTCTGAGTTTGTCGACCATGGCCCACGTATCACGACAGACTTTCTCCTTGGCTTCCTCGTCGAGGGAAGGCCACGCATCTCGAAGAGTTTTTCCAGGCATGTGTTCCATCCAGATTGAGCCCTTTGTGACGACGCCGTCCTCTCCGCAATTGTAAGTCCCGAGGAATGCGTGGGGTACGGGGACGCTGTTCGGTGGTAGGGTGGAATGGATAAGGTTCAGGGCAGCCTCTTCGTTTGTCCATACCGACGTGCCCTCCTTGATGATGACCTCGGGGTCGATTTGTGTTATTTTACTACGACCCCATTCGTTGCTGATGACCCGAGGGAATGACGTGTCTGCATCTGGAAAAGCAGATTAGCGAGTGGTCTGAGGCTCAACTGCCAGAGACAGCAAATCGGCGTGAGCAGCACCTGAATTGTCTGCCATCTTGAAGGAAGGTGAAATCAAAGGGTGCAAATGACTACGACGAATGTTGCGGGAAAGTATGTAACTTGAAGCTTATCCGTACGTGAGCCAGACAATTGAGTGAGGGAGGCGATAGCCTAAATAGCCTACCCGCAGTGGCTCTCAAACGAGATATTACCGCCCCTGTCACAGATCTCATGCCCTACATAAGGAGACGCCAATCACTCCTGTCCATCACTTGTGGAGTTAAAGCACAGCCTCATTTAGCTTGATATGCTCCCAACATGGCTCATTATGGAGTCTGCATATTCTAACTCTGGCAATCGGGTTACTTCGGAGGCTGGCTCCACCTGGTGATTGAGGCCGTGTACTCCACTCTCATAATGTACGTTGGTTCACTGAGGTGGATATCGATACTATACATCACAAGACACAGCTATTACAGATCATTGGCCGAAGATGCGGCCTTGAAATTCGGCTGCAGTTCCTGGCCATCACTGCTTCTTGAGTTTGAAACTCTTCTTTGATATTCCACCGATGGTTTGTGGAGGTATTTCTGTCTGAGACTACGTTCAACAGAAGATATGACTGATGGCTGTTAGAACTTGATGGATCCAGTACCCATATGACTCAATCGGTGGTGATGAGGGCGTGGTTGAATAGAGCATATTTACCCTATATACCAGCATACACATCGCAGTCCGACCTGTAGGGCCTTTCACCCAAGCATTAGAGACACAGGCTCCAAATCTAGACTCTGAAGCTTCCATTCATCACCATTATCATCCCGCGCTGCTAATGCGGTATGCCATTCCGTAGCTCCACTCGATCCACAGGACGGCATATATATCGTCTGCTATCTGAGGGGGCCATATAGCGGTACCCATTCGGCCATTGGGAATCAACCCGGGTCTTGCAGACAGCCACTAAATCAATTGATATGAGCTCTTACATTTCGGGGCTGTTAGGCATGCAGGGGCCCATCTCCTCTTTCTTGTCAGGGAAATATTCCTTGTCCTCTTCACTTTGCAAAAAAGCTCCCCAACTTGGTTCCTCAGAACCAACAAGACCCGTAATATCATGTGGTGTCAATAGTAGGGGGAGTGTCTGCTGTCATGTATCCATATTCCCACCTTATTGATATGTGCCCAAGCATCCAGTTCACTAATAGTCTTCTGAACGAAATAATCTGCAAGGAGCTATTTCAAACCCGCCTGCTACTCTGACATGCCCCCGTTCACAAGTGATATAGACTACACTGATCATTCCAGGGTAAGTAGAGACTGCCTCACCCATGGTAAGTCCGATTCCGTATCCCCAGCTGACGTCGCAATTTTCTCTTTTCTCTCGCGCAGCATCTATGACTCTACTGAGGAGTTCAGGTTCACTGCGAGTTGCCTTCACAATGAACTTAGGGACTATTCCGCAAAACCGATATGGCTGGTTTGCGCGAGCCACTACCCCGATGAACAAGACGCGGGATTTCGCGTTCGTCCCAAGTCTAATCAAGGCTCCTGAGTACAAAGGCGTGAGGCTCAGCGTAATACAACTCTTGGTGGGGTCGAAAGCCTCCCGCGGGTAAACCTTGGTCCCAATAAAACCCCTCGCTGATTCCATAAGGCAGATCCCATTAAAATGGTTTGACCGAATGATTCCTGAGGACAGGGTGTCGTCGTCAAGTAGTTTCTCAACGTTGTCGAAGGCAAGCAAGAAGGAATATAAGGGTGCGCGAGGAGAATCGAAGAGCGGCGCCTGGCCGCAGCTCTCGTTGGGATCTGGGTTAGACCGTATGTACAAACGCGACTGGCACAAAACCCACGGAGCATATACAGAGACCGGGCCTGGAGGGAACGGGATCCTTTTCATCACCCCTGCTCGTCTCGTTGATGCATCCGTATTCAGATGCCCCTCAATGGGCACGCAGGCAAGGCGAGCAACAAACTCCGTGCGGCGAATCCTGGCATTGAATTACCCCAGGTAGTAAGACCAAGCTTGAACGATCGGAAGAGTAATCGAAAGACCAGCGTTGGTCATCTTGAATGTGGGCTTGCTGACAATGTGATCATCAACACTGATAAACTTTCCAGAGTTCCGGAACGCTTGTGGACATGGCGCGAGTATGCTGTGCCATCCTGGAGGTACCAGGTCGATCCAGGTCCAACAGAAGATAGTATGGTAGGTTGAGGTTCGAATAATCTCCTCCTGCAATCTGGTGAATGATTTTGAGCCTTCGCCATATAATAATGGCATGTTGATATTAAAGATGCCCAACATGCAATATGCCATATCTTCGATCCTTGTAGTGACCCTACGAGATACCCATGACATCTTTTCTGCCACACTGGCCCATCTTAGTAGGGAGCTGTTGAAAAGGTATTTTGGTTCGGTTTTAGCCGTCTCAGAGATAACCCCGGCCATTGTTGGGCGCGAGGCTATCTTGGACCAATCTCGAGAATAGAAGGTCAACTTCACGGGCGCTAATAATTCTTGGAGCGTCCAGCCGCGAGTAAAACACTTGCTTTGACAGAAATGTTGGACGTAGTTCTCTGTCATCTCGTCCCATTCTGGAGGCATTGGTCTGACGTCGCTCAGATAGGCGTAGCAGATAGTGGCCTCTTGGTACCAGCTGAACATAGAGTTGATTGCCTCGCTCAGTTCTGCAGAGCTGGTTTTATCAATGCAATTCGTGTCGACCCGCAGGTAGTCCAGATCATGCTTCTGGGCTTGTTCGCATGCCATGTCGATTTTGAAGAAGCCTTTCTTCTTCTTGGCAACGCTCAGGTCTTTCCAGTCCTGGAATGTGACTTCTTCATCCTCCCATGTATGTGAGAGGATGGCATATTCCTTGTATATCTTGTCCCCGAAGAACTCCGAGAGCTCAAGTGTCCGGGTGTCGATCAGTCGCATGACGAGCTAAGGATGATAAACATAGATTTTAGCGACGAGGCCTTGAGTGCTATAAATTCCAGAACGTGTCGTCGGATCGTTTCGCGAGGATCTTAATGGAAAATTGAGCTGCCCCTGGGCTCGGTCCGAACACTCTTGTTAGTGTAGAGACGTGCTGAAAGCGAAAGGAGTGCAAAAGATGGAAGCGGATTTGCGTTCGAAGTGGCGTGTCTGCATTTAAACCCCTCTCTCTGTGTAACAGCTCATGCACATAAGACGGACGTGACAGCAAGCTAGCCATCCTTGGACATGCATCTTTTCTCACTGCAAAGATGTTGCTAGCTAGTCTACGCATAAGGCTGCGGACCCAGTGTTGCCAATGATTGTCGCTGTGGTTGCCAAAACGGATGCGCGTGGTATTGCCAAGGTCGGCCTACTCAGCGGCCAACCTAGTACATCATTTTCTTGGAAATCAACCAAGAAAGATGAGTACCTTTCAGAGCCTACATAATTTATCTCTACGTTGCTCTCTGCGCCCTCTATAGCACTCTGCCGTCTGTGGCGCTCTGGGGCGCTCTGGCCTTCTGAGTGGCCCCCCTCCGAAGAGTATGATGATTAAATCAGATACAATGATGATTAAATCAGATACATAACAACACATAGATCATAAATATTTCATGTAATTAAGATAGCTGCTTAAGAGCACGTTTATTGTTGGCTAAGATGATATATAAAACAATATGGCCGGATTGAGGATCAGATGGCTATACGAGGACTGTGACATGGCATCCACGCATCAAATTGGATTCTCTTCTCTCTTTGATGTTTTAAGTCCGGAAGGTATTAGAGAAATAGATGTACATTTCATGCATTTATCAAGACGGCGGTGAAATGAGTCCCGCCGATGTCTCCCTATTTCACCGTCTACATGCTCCTGGAAGTATAGTGCTTTCAAAGACATTTTGCAAGCGACTACTCGATTGGTACTTGACTTTCGGTCGAAATCCATCTATGCGAGCTATCTCATGCACTGGACTTCCACATAAGTATCAAATGTATGGTACTGTAGGTCGGTCTCAGCGTCCTAGATGTGCAGTCCCTATTGTTACCAATATTTCTGCCACTTGTTGCCAGTTTCGTAGTCAAATTCTGCTCCGCATCTGCCTGTGTTTCGATAACGGAGCATTTCCGTCAGTCAGTCAATCGAACCTCAAGTGGTGGGGCTGTCCATTTTCGCGGAGCTCTTCTCTCAGAGGCACTTACATGTCATGTGTATACTGTAAATAGTTGGTCAGCGACGGTACCGGAGGCGACCTAAGTGTGCAGAAGATAGGGATCGGAGGGGCAAGGACAATGAGTAGGAGTAAAAGGAGAAAATGAGGAGGAATGGTTGATTTGAGCTATCCAGGGTTACGTACCACCCAGAATCTTGTGAACAAACATTTTACAGCCCGGGCACTGCGTCGCATTGGCTGTGGCCGTCTGCTCGCCCAGACGCTCATCAGCCTTGATCTGAGCCACCCGTCTCTGTTCTTCTTCCTGCCGACGCCGTGCCTCTTCCCTGGCAGCGCACTCGGCCGCCTCCCTCGCTTCTCTCGCGATCCGAGCCTTTTCGATGCGGCGTGCCTCGGCCGCTTGTTGTTCACGAAGACACCGCAGTCGGTATTCTTCTTCGGCGTGCTGCATGCGCCGTCTGGTTTCCTCGATGTGTCGGCTCAGAGCCTCCCTGGATTCATTCTCTCGCTGGATTTTGCTGCGAAAGGTCGGATCACGCAGGTGCATGTCGTACTCGTCACAGGTGTGCTCTCGATGCCACTCAACGCCATGGACAAAGCAGAATGGACGGCCACAGTTGCGGCATTGCACAATTGGCTGTCGTTCGCCGCTGCTGTGTACCTGAGATGTACCACAACCGAATGGGCACCACACCACGTTGGAGACTCTCAGGGCGATTTTCTCAAGGAAAATTTGCTTGTACCTGCGTTCAAGGCGAATTGAAATGAGTGATGCCATGGAAAATCAACACAGGTGTGCATCTCTATTGGCTTACATACCTTGAGTAATTTTCCTCGGTTAAACAGCAACGAACCGCGTCCATCCCGAGATGTTGCGGGCACTCAGGGCAGCTGATGCTGGTAGACAGCTTTGTCTCGAACTGTGTGTTGACGCTCGCCGAGACACAGTCGAAGCAGGTCGAGGGCGGGTGCAGACAGCTGAGGGTGAGCTGGTTCGAGGGGAATTCGTTTGCGTCTTTGGTCTCGGCGCAGATTGCACACTCAATCTGACGGGGTTCCATTTTCTGCCAGTCGCGTGATGTCGTTGACGAGAAGGATTTGGGGATCATGCCTCAGCGTAGATTTCGCACTCTTGACTGCAGATAGTGTTGAGTATCATTGGACTCGAGACAAAATCGAACTCGAGGCGAGACACAGGATGCTTTATAAGCCAAACTTCGAAATCTAGACTGGCTTTCCAGACGACTCTTCGTGCCTTGTTTCAGAGTATGACAATGCGTTTCCTTGTTAATATGGCTTGAGAACGTATGCCTGACGTGCTATTGGACCAAATTGACATGGACCTCTCATTGCTACCTAGTTCTTGTTTGTTTATGAATCTTGCGTGGCCAGTTTCTCTTTCACACTCAAGAAATTGCACTTGGTTGTTCAGTACATCTGTCTCGACTTTCTCCGTAGACATATGAATGCCTATTCCATGACCTCAACTCGAAAGGCGCTGTCAGAGGAAATCGATTCCTACCACATGGTGCCTGGACAAGAGGGAATTTCAGGCATCAAGATTGTGAACTTTCAACCGCGAGACCCTGTCACAATGCAGACCCATGATTCAAGTCCGTGGTTGCCTCCATCTTCCAAAATAAGAACCATGGATCCGAAAGGTTCCCTGTGACCTCACTCATATTGAATGGCTTCTCGGTTGTAGAGGAACCAAAAGAACCCCCGTTCTTCGGGCCGTAGTGTCAAATTCCTCCTTGAATGCCACGCGACCCATACTTGTTCCTTCACCAGAATGGTGGGAGGTCCCCACGTTCTGTCGTCAACCTCCGTCAAGAGGAGCGCAGGAATGGCCGGGCAAATAGCTTTCAGCTGGTCTTTGATCTCATCATCTGACAGGCGCTTTTGCATCTTCTCTAGCTTGAACCTGGGGGGATCCCCGCTGAGGTTTTTGCAGTCCAAGTTCTCTAGGTCTCGGAAGAATTGAGTCTGGAAGGCGCAAGGCACCGACCAGTAAGATGAAACATCCAGAGAGTATTTGTCAATGGCGCATAGCATCTTGTCACCGAGCTCTATAGCAGGGAGGACAACGTCCTGCCGGATCGAGATTGCCGCTATGTCTAGTGCAGCCTGCTTGTTTGGGCCCAAAACTTCTGCCAGGCCTATTGAACGGATTATGAAGTGTGTCAGGACATGCGAAAAGTCATCACGAAAAGCCTGCGTCTCCTCGCGGGCTAGAATTGCTGCCAACGCTTCTGACATCCAGCGGCGAGCATTGTACAAACCTGCCTTCCGTCAGTCATCGCGTCCAATGCGAGAGTTACAGCGATTTTGAAAGTTTCGCGAGACTTGGGAGTTACAAGATGAACTCACTTCTGCTCGACTCGAGGTTCAGATTCATTGATATCTCCAGCTGTTTGATGACATCGATCTCCCTCTGTAAGTCTTCCTCGAGGTACCGGACCTTGGCGAAAAAAGCTTTATCAATGAGGATGTCAAATATCATCACCAGAAATATGTTCTCGTCTGCCGCAGGGAACTCGCTCGCAACAAAGAAGTCCCGATTCCGCCATCTGGAGATACATAGTGCCGTGTCTCCGGCCCACACATTCCGAGCACGCTCAGATGCCTGGAAACATTGTTCAGCACTGCTGATTGATGGCAGCACGCAAGTTGAGACCCAAATCTGTGTTGCAACGATGAGGGAACTGAACTCCTAGATCCATCGTCACGAGGTCAGTATCGACTTTATCACTAGTCTGGATCTGTACCTACATTCTTGACTGTCTCTCGAGGCAGAAGGGCTCCCAGATTTCCGCCAATCTTGACGATGTGCGTTTCAGCCGACTTCAGCTTTGACTGCAAGGTCAAGAGTTCAGCACGTGTAGCTGAAATCTCTTTGAGAAGGTCATCGGTCCGTCGTCCCGGGCTGTGCACGAGCTGCTCATGCGAATTTTTCAACTGCGATGCACAAGTCTCCACCTCTGGGGACCTCAGATTCGACCTTGCTTTCTTTCGATGGATTGTCGAGGTTCCTCTCCGGACTTGCTCTTCGGGCTCAGCCGTCGACTCAAACTCGTCCTTTTCCGATTCTGCAGGCCTGTCTGCATTCATGGGAGGGCCTGCTTTGAGGAACTGGTTCTCCTCTGTCACCATGACAAGCGTACTAGTGAGACGATCCAAGATTTTCCGCATTGAGAACCTGTGCTGTGAGCGTTTGTTATACTCATGGATGACTTTGGAATGCTCGCTCCTGAACCAGTCGAGACTGATGGAGATCTGTTGCAATCGGTCTTGCACTTCGTCCATGCGGTGACTCATCTCGTTCGATGGGGTCTCTAAGATGTGTTTCCGAAGAAGCCCAATTTCTTTTTCCTGAGCTGAATAGATTTCTTTAAGTCCATCATACTTCAGCAGCAAATCATGATATTCCTGTCGCCGCACATTGTCCGCGGCTTCAGGAATTTGGCGCCCCTTCTGTGACTCATTATGGAGTCTTTTCAGATGGTCATTCTCAGGGTCTGTGTGACGTTTTTGTTGACTTGGCCGCGATCTTCTCTCTGTCGCATTTGAGCCTCCCGTGATGTTTGTACTTGTGCCGGTCTCTGTGCCACGAGGCCAGCACATGGCTAGGTTTCTGCCGTAGTGTAACGATCGAAATTGTGATGAAATGTAGCAAGGACCTCTTGTTCTGTCATTCACTGTAGGGACCCTGGCAAAAACTCGGGGGAGAGTCGTGAGAAACTTCAATAGCTTGTTCCACGGCGCACGCAATCTTTTATCGTCGTCTTGAGAAGCTCTGATTCGAGATGAAAGCAGACAGATAGTCGTGGTGGAAAGTTCCTGCATCAGAATACCTTGAATAGATTGATCACTTGTAGTTCTTATGGCACAGTTCGGATGTCCGGGTGGATTTCAAAAATAGCTGCAAATCGCATTCCAGTTGCGCTCGTCATTGCCTTTTACAGACTGATTTTTGCTTGTCTACACATCCTCGAGCTTCTCACAACACTCTGAGCCCTGAGACCCAACAGCTTTCAAGTTTGAAACTGTCTCTGACCAGAACATGGTCTTGTGGTGCTGGCTGCTTATTGGTAAAAGAAAGCATTCAAGTCTGTGTCATCGCGGACATCGTAAAGCCTGACCGTTTCACGAAATTGTTTCGACTTGATGAATGTTCATTATTTGAGACCTATGAGAGCGACCTATGCGATTGTTTACGTTCATCTGTGATGTGGGTGTAAGTCAACTTCCAAGTTGTAGCACGCTGAATCGTTGCAAAGTGATTTGCTCTTATTGAGTGTAGCAGAGCAGAACAAGCATGCCTGGGAGCGCAAGGTTGGCACAAATGGGCATTGAATATTTTGCCGCGCAAATCAAGCAAATTGTCTCAGATAACATCAACAAAGAGATCGTTCAAACTCCATGATCCACGTTCGGGCCACAAGGACTCGTAGGTTTCACGTCCCTTTCAGACTTTCACACAAGCTGCATCTACGCATTCCAGAGTTCCAATCCATCCACGGATTATAGTCTTCCAGGGGATTGCATCCAAGGTAAATAGTGCAACAAACTATTTTTCCAGGTGGTATTTCTCTCATATCAGTGAACAAGCACGGTTGTGTCCACGGGTCTCCTTGAAGACACACTACTCTCTGATATTTCTGGCTCCCGGCCGGTCTTGTTGTCCAGAGAACGCAAAGCATCGTAACGCCACGTACAAGCCGCCGGAACAAATCTTCGAGAACGTTGCAGTCGGACCACAACATGGCACCCTCAGTTGCTAAAAGAATTGTCATCGGTGTCGACTTTGGAACAACCTTCTCAGGCGTTGCATGGGCCATAAGCACGAGTACTCAATCGGGCAACGTCGAGATCATCAGCAGATGGCCAAACATCTCGGGCGTGAAGACACACTCCGAGAAGGTCCCAACGAAACTCAGGCGTCTTGGCAACGGCGATCTTCAATGGGGTTTCCTGGTGCCGTCTGATGCCCCGAGCAATGAGGTCTTGCGGTGGTTCAAACTGTAAGAGCTCTTCTTTGGGATCAATTTAATGTGTTGTGAACGGGTTGGGAAATTGCTGATGACAGCTCCATGAACTTAGGAAACTAGATGATAGGGCTTCAGTAGCTGAGGTTGTCCCCGAGAACATACGCGCCTACAACAATCGAAGGACGGACCAAGCGATCGTCGACTACCTCTCGCTCCTCGGGGCCGAAGTTCTGCAGGCATTGACCAATTCCCTTGGAGCCGGATTGGTCAAGGACTATGAGCTGAAGTACGTGATCACAGTCCCGGCAATTTGGAGCGAGCGCGCCACTCAACGAACCAAGCTCGCGTTCCAGGATGCGATGGACCTTCGCGGCAACCAAAACATCACTGTGCTCTCGGAGCCAGAGGCTGCTGCTATATCTGAGCTCCAGCGATCGAAGACCCGGATCGTCAATGAAGGCGAATGCTTCATGATTCTAGACGCGGGCGGTGGGACCGTCGACCTCATCAGCTACATCATCCGTCAACTACATCCGCTTGTAGTTGATGAGGCAGTTCGGGGGTCTGGCGATGTGTGCGGCGGTGCCACCGTCACAGATCGCTTCAGAACGTGGCTTGTGTCTAAGATTGGAGATTTGGAATACTTCGATGACGAAGTGCTTAGGGATGCCGTGGAATGTTTTGATACACGTGTGAGTGATTCTCGTCGTGAACCCAGACGCTATTAGTGGGTTGAAATACTGACCATCTTACCAGATCAAACCCCGAGTCAACTCCGCTCTCTTAGCGAACAATCACAGGTTTTTTGTGACTGTGCCTGGCCTTGCCAACAACCGTCAAGCTGATATTTCCAACGAGCTTATCGGAATCTCAGCTTTCGACGTTGTTTCCTTCTTCCAACCTAGTATCGAGAGGATCAAGCTGCTGGTTGCTGAGCAGATCGCAGCCTCCAATGTTCCCATCACGGCCATCATCATGGTCGGTGGGTATGGTCAATGCCAATACCTGAAGGAAGAGCTTGAACAAGATGTTCTGATCAGAGAACGACAAATCCAAGTACATCGGTCACGTCGTGCGTGGACGGCTGTGGTTGAGGGTGCTGTGATGAAAGGTCTCCATGAAATGAGCCCAGAGGACAGTACACGCATTAGAATCAGCAATTACAAGGCGCGAAAGCACTACGGCACGGAACTCACTGTCACTTATCAGGACTCCATGCACTCCGAGCTTTTCGACAAGCGCCGCTGGGATGGGTTGAACGGCTGTTACGAAGTGGAGGTCATGAATTGGTTCATCAATCAGGTCAGTTAAGAGCCGGTAGGCAACCCAGTAGCATGCGCCGTTGCTTACTATTTTGAAAAGGGCGATTCTGTCACCGACAGCAAGAAGTTCTTCAAGGACTTCTTGGTGACAAACAAAGTCAATCATGGAAAGCCTCGGCGGATTTACCTCATCATCTACAGTGACGAGACCTCCCAGGTGGCGCCTCTGGGCAAGACCGAAACGGTCCGGGAGCTCTGTACTGTCGAGGCCGACCTCAGCCAAATCCCTGAGAGCCAGATGACCAAGGTCCAAGGAATTGACGGCTTCATGTATTTCTCCACTAATGGCCAGATTGAAATTGTCTGTAAGTGCTTATGTCTCCCACATCACTTCATAGTCCTTTCAAGCCCCCTGACTTGGACAATAGACAAATCGCAGACTATCACATTCACGTTGATCTACAACGGTACGTACACTAGACCTTTCAGGCCAAGCATGGTCACTGACACAGATACAGGCCAGCGTTACAACAGCGTCACTGCGGACTTCTTATAATTGCATTTGGGCGAGATGTACCATGGGACACTCATTCTTGGCATTTCTGTTTTCGTATCTTGTACTTGAAATGCTTTGCTGCACACGCAACGAAACTCACGGGCTGTGGTGTCCATAATAGGGCAAAGCAGGACAGTTTGGTTGTCTAGAATCATGAACATGTAGTCCATCAGCCGTACTTGCTAGTATGGAGGCAAGGAAATGCAGAGAAGGTGGATAAGCTAGACTCATGGTCTAATTCCTTAAAAGGAACTCCTGGGAGTGCGCACCCGTGTTGTACAATTTCCTGCCTTGATCATATCTGCTTTGTCTGAAATTACAGTTGCCCAAGCCAAAAGATAACATTGTGACTTTTGTGTCTTTGTGAGCTCCAACCGACTACAGGCCGGATACAGTATAGATGTGCCCAGACGCGTTTTAGCAAATACAAATAACACAGTTCAATGCACTCGCACTCGGTGGATGATTGGTCTGATAGTTCAACCCGCAGGAAAGTCTACCACAGCCACCCCGACCCTTGATTATTATCGACCCAACGCAACACACCATGGTTTCTTCGCGCGTCGAGGGGCGGACCGATTTGCAAAAGGAGAACAATGCCCTGAGGGACCAGGTTAAGGTCTTGCAAAGGGATCTCAATTGGCAAGTGAGCATCAATAGGGCATTGCAAAGGTCGCGGTCAAAGGAGACTCTGCTGCCCGAAGCCGCGGCATTGGTAGGCCAAGTCGAATACCCGATGCTGAATGATGATTGTTAAGAAAAGTCTAGAAATTTGCAAATATAAAATTTCAAATAGACGTATTTGTCTCAGATTTGGATGGATGCTTGGCTGTCCCATCTCACAGAGAGCGCGTCGCCCTCGCCATGACAAAAGAAGGCTCAGCAAAGGCTTTTCGGTCGGCTCTAACGCAAAACAGCGACCTTCGAGAACTGGCGATACAGCCTCAAGCCACGAACTGCCAGATGTGGACAGCATACATCTGGAGATTTTTAGTGCAAGAGATCTTCTCGTTCGACGGTGTAAGGGAGTTTTACGCTGCGACGGGTCAGAATGCTGCGTACTACATCAAGAACATCGACGAGATCGACTGGCTGATGCAGTATGAGAACGAGACCCCGGAAGGTAGGAGGCAGGCATTATAATTCAGAACTACAGCAAGGAGGGCGGCTTATTGAATGACCGCCACAGATAAATTTGCGAGGCACACGTGGAGAAAACAAGCCATCGACGCCGTGTTCCCGACGGGCAACGACGAAGGCGGCACCGGGGCCGACCTATTCCCAACCAAGGACCACCCGTGGCTCGCTTCAAACAGAGCATCCAAGATCGACGAGCTGGCTGCACAACTGCTGCGGGCATTTGGCGTATTTGCCAGGATCGTGCCCGACGCCCTGAACTTGACGCGAAATATTGTCTCCCACGCCGTTCGGTTCAACGAGGACATAATGCACGAGGCGCAAGTGACATACACTGTGGACCTAGAGACCAGCTCTGACGATGAGTTCCACAAAAACCTCGACAATATGAGCCTCACTGCTGTCAACACCGACAGCGGTTGGCCAGTGAGGATGAACAGCGTGATGAAGGGCATGCTTCAGAGCGATATTCGGAAGCGCTTGTATAAAGTCTGCGTGATAGAGCCGGCGTTGCAGTCTCAGAGTTGGTCGGCGGTGTCGGAAGCGTTGGGGCTTCAATACGGGGCTGTGAAGACGGAGGTCAAGTCGGGCGTGGCGGTGGGCTGGGCCTTGAATAGGAACAACCCGCCTGAGAAGGAGAGCATGTTCTACATCATGGCTCGGAGCCTCGGCTTTGTGTCATAGGTATCAGCTGCACATGGCTGTTGACGACTGGTGACTCCAAGAAGAAGTGTGCACCTGAGTTGGGTAGGGGGGTTGCCAGACACACAACCGTGCTGGCTGTCGCTGCACATACCCTGCTTTTCTTTCTCTTGTTTTCTTTTGATTCTAGCATGTGCAAACCCACACTGAATTCTCAGTCAAATGGCGCAAATGAAGAGGCAAACACCATGAGAACAGTCCCATGCACAGTGATTCGACCGTTGACTCGGAGAGATTCTGCAGGAAGGAGCTGTCGCATGGTCATTCACCCACCGTTGACGGTACCTAGGTACTTCCAGAGCACTAGGATGAAGCGATCCAATAATGTGACTCAAAGTTGCGACCGCCTTCCCTAAGCGATCAAATCTTTTCTGCCACCGTCTGCTCGAGATCCCATCTGGAATAACTTTGGAGTCAGCAACCCAACCCAACCTCGCCCCTCACTCGAACGCACTCCGACCAACACCCTGCAATCGCCACCCGGCCAGTTCAGCATCCGCACAGCCGACAGACAGACAGGAATAAAGACAGCCAAAATGTCGGACGACGAGGAGATATCCGTCTACGACGAGGTCGAGATCGAGGACATGACGTACGACGAGACGCTGCAGACCTACCACTACCCGTGCCCCTGCGGCGACCGCTTCGAGATCGCCCTGGCCGACCTGCAGGACGAGTCCAACGACATCGCCGTGTGCCCCAGCTGCAGCCTGATGATACGGGTCATATACGAGGTGGTGAGTGAATAACCAGCCGGGCAGTCTCCCCATCGGCGCCGCATTGTTGCGTCGCGGGCGGAAGGAAGCCTTTTGTATCGCGTCGTTGTGCGCTGTTGAACTAACATCGTTTGCGCAACAGGACAGTCTCCCCAAACCCGACGAGCCAGATGCCGACCCGGCCGCCGACGAGACGCCGGCGCAAGTCCCCGTCGCCGCCTGAGGCAATGCGCTGAGACTATGGCTTGGTGCCCGGAGAGGACTACATCATGCGCACGCTGCTGGATGGGGACAAAAGGCAACAGACTGGTCGCAACGAGCCCGGAAATTCAAATGCCCTGGAGTCTGGCCACCCAAACGAGGCGTGCAACGCAACACGCCAGACGTGAGACGGCGCAAGCACTACACCGTTCGAGGCTGGGTGGTGTCGTGCAGCGCCCGAGGTTATGGTGGTGGACGGTGACGCCAGCCCCCGGTCCAACGTGACAGCTACTGCTGGTGGACGTCTGCGGCGCCGCGGTTTGACGAGGCGGTTGCGGGCACCAGGAGGCTGAGAAGAACGGGCCAGAACCTCGGCAGATGGGAGCGACACTGTTTGCGAGAAGAAGCGCGAGGAGTTCCATCTGCATCAGGATGTTCCAGGACTGGGGAGACTATCGTTCTCCGAGAGAAACCTGTACCTCCAGGGGCTGGTAGTACCGCGCTGAGGGCGGTATTGGAATGGAAGACGGGAAGCAGCGGGCGCGGCCGCAACCGCCTCCCGCATGCGGAACCGTGTCTCGCGCAGCTGGAACGCAACAGATTGTCTCGGGAGAGAGAGGGGTTGGGTAGATGCAATGCTATCCTTTCTCAGATCCTGTCTAGATTAAGCATTATTGTTCTTTCCTGGGACCCGGCCCCGGCCAGGGGGGCTCCCTTTCCACCCCTCAGCCCTGCTACAGATGCAGCCGAATTCGACCTGCCCATTTTCCCAACTCCAGAAGAAACAGTAGAATCGTGACCCTCGAATTGAGCCATGTGGTCGGGTATGCCCGAATGATCGTTTCGAAAAAAGGGTTGCACCGTCAAACCCATGCCCGTAGAAAAACTCCCCGTGATGCAAAATGTCGTGCGCTGTGTGCGCAAAAGTGGTATCGTCGTTCGTGAAAATCCGCCCCCAAAAACCTAACCCCGTTTGGCCCCAGAACATAAAAACGAAAAGTGGGACACAAAGTAAAGAAAATCAAGTGCTCGTTGTTGGAAACAAGCAAAGAAGAAATGGAAAAAAAAACAAAAAAACCGTCAAGGCCTCGTGCAGTTCAGCTTGAATCGTCGCCCACGGCTAGCATGGCGCATGTGGTGGTGGGCTCCAGGGCGAAGGGCGAGCAACTGCTCTCGTCCTCTTTCCGCTTAGAGCAGGCACAACGACAGGGCGAAGAAGATGACGAGCCCCAGCATGCTGCTATCGCTGGACAGGCCCTCCCCGGCCGCGGCCGCGGCTGCGACGCTGCTGCTGCTACTGGACGCGGCGGCCGGGGACGACGAGGAGGTGGCGGTCACGGGGCCGGTCCCGGCGCTGGTGATCGTCAGCGTGAAGGAGCCGTCGGTGGTTGTGCTGTTGGCCGGCGCGTCGATGAGGGTCACGGTGAAGTTTGCCGGGATCGTCGACGGCGCCGAGGTGCTGGGGAGGGCCCAGGTCGTGGTTGTCGAGGAGGAGCAGTCGGTGGCCTGGGCGACCTGGTCCGGGTTGGGTTTTGTGTCCTGTGCCTGGGCGAAGGTGGTGGTGGTGGCGCCCAGGGCGGCGAGGATGTGAGATGGGCGCATTGGATGGTGGTGGTGGTGGAGGGTAGATGGGCGGATCGAGATAGGCAAGATAAGGATGATCTTGAATTGCTGCTGTGGGTGCAAAACCTGGCGCAAGTCTGACAACTTGGGATGATTTTGCGACGATGATGTTCTGCGACGACAATGCGCGCGCTGATCGGTGGTGGATGGTGGAGAGGTCGGCTTCTGCCTTGGTCCGAGTGTCTATCTCGAGCAATGCTGGAGAGGTTGTGTGTAGATAGACCGAGTGACTGTGACCGAGTGTGACTGGCTGGTTGGGCTGGTTGTGGCTCTTCCCTCTAGGGGACCAAGATGGGCAGATCGGAGGCTTTTCAATCCTCAACTGCCCCGGGCTGCGATGTGGAGAGGGCCCTGAGGGAGAAAAGAAACAAACAGACTGGGATGCAGCACCTTGACGTCGGTGACACTCGGCTCCTCAGGCAGAGGCCAGAGTCCAGACGACGGAAGCGAATGAAGGGCAGGTGGACATGTGGAGCAAGCCGGGCAACACACGGCGGGGAGAAACGCAGCAGAGGCAATCAGCCGGGGTCGTCCAATGCAAGTGCGGATTGGGTTAATTGTCCTGGTCTGTCTCTCGCTGCTGGTGGCCCAGTGGCCCCGTCGCAGGGCGAGGCCCAGATTCAGTCAGATTGAGCTCGACCCCCCTTGTGGAGCCCCGAATTGGGATAAGGGTGGTTGGAATAATAAGGCCGAGCCCCTGGATTGCCCTCTCACGGACGGGAAGGTCAGGGCAGAGTCAAGACAGTCAGGGCGGTGGTTTGCTCGATCGAGGGCAAAACGGAGAAGGCTGGAGGTGAGGTGAGGTGAGGTGAGGTGAGCCAAATTGGTGTCTGGTGAGCGTGTGCAGCAGCAGACAACGTTGGACGAAGGTGATGTCTGTGACATGATATGACATGCGGCTTGTTGTGTGAGCACGCGAGAGGGGAAACAAGAACATGCAGGCCGAGATAGCTGCTAGCTACGGGTAGCTAGCTCTACAGATTGTCAGACGAAGCGAGCAAGCGAGCAAACAAGGGTAGCAACAGCAGTTCGTTGCAACCTTGAACAGCATCCCCGGTTGCAGCCTATCAATCCGGGCACGACATTAGCACTTGCCCCTGTGCTGGTAGCCTGGCACAGTCTGACATGCAGGGCATGACGGTGCAGTAATAATAGCGACAGTGACAGTGACAGTACCAAGCACAGAACAGAGCTTGCAAGGGCGGGAAGCAAGGAAAATGGCAGGACCAGGACCACAACGGGACGTGGGCTAGAGCCGGAACGTCGAGAGCACGGAGCAGGATGAGGGCAGGGCGTGGGCGAAATGGCCGTGGAAATGCCTCACCAAAAGACGGTGAATGACTGGGAAAGAATGATTCCCCATGGCGAGTGTGTTGTCCCCCCCGCGAATAAACACAGACAGTACACACAGTCTGTTGCTCGGCAGTGACGAGAACCAAGCCTGATGCCCGTGAGGTCGGGACGTGTGTTGCGATGCGAAACTCAAAACCGGCAGAGCCACACATATGCAACGCGACCAAAACGAAACACATACAAGGGCCGGCTGCCACTGCACAGACGAATGACCTTGGCTGTGCTGACGAAACAGACAGCAGAAGCAGCGAGATTCCCGCGCGCCGAGGCTCAAGATCAGCAGCGTGTGGGCTGCATGGCAGATAGGGCCATGCATCCATCCCACATCCGCCTGATGTCATGGCCCGCTGCATTGCTGCATCCTGCACAATGCGAGCTGTCAGCTGCATCTCGGGCTGTCGGGTGAACAGGGAGGTAAACTCTGCGGCCCTCCATCCTGTCCTGGCAGTTGAGTTGATCGCGCAGCCAATTGGCGCGACACGCCTGCACAGCCCTTGTTCTCCTGCGTCGGCAAAAGTGAGAACAGGCCCCGGAGGCTGCAGCAGACTGCAGGGTTGGCAGCTGAAGTCCGATCGTCTCTCGAGCCTCTCTCATCATCAGCTGGCTGCAGCATGCAAGTTCAACAAAAAGACCGGGGCCGATCAAAAACCGTTGAAGGCCAAAAAGTCATGCACGCCGTGATTGGGCCGGCCAGAATTCCTGAGGGCTGTCCCCCACGTACCGTGCTCCGCCGGCCAAGGTTTTCTCCTCTTGCCCATCTGCTGAGCCTGTAACCACGATCGAGATCCATTTCTTTTTTCTTTTCCTGTTTCATTGATCAGCCACATATTGCAACATGTGGCGAATGTGGCGATGCACACCTCGCTCACTCATACCCAGTCACTCGACCTCACATCTCTGCTTCTCCAGCACAAGACGAGCAAAGCCACACCAGCGATGCGCACCAAGCCGAGGGATATGTGGGTTTCACTCAAGCGCTTACAAACCTGCCCTTCCCCCTCTAGGATCATCGAAGGACGGACTCATCGCGAAGCAAGGTGTGTTGCATGCACCCATGGGCTGCCTCATCGCCCGACGCGCATACAGATAAACCCTCCCCAAGCTGACTGTTCACTTTGAATCCGGCTATTTTTGTTGAGGCGCACACTCACATACGTCCTGGGTCACATGTTCGTCCCCCTCGTTGACTGCAGCTCCCGCTGCACCAGCTTGCCCGGCTCGTCGCCGTGCCTGCCCATGTGTAGCCGCCGCTGAGGGAGCAATTGATTGCTCGGTGTTGCCAGTCAGGATGACGATAGGCGTCTGTCCGCCCCCCCCCCCCCCTGCTTGAGGGTGTGACAGTTGGGGTGCCCACACGGTGACACCTCGCGCAACCCACTCGCGGCCGCTTCTTCCGTAATGTCGCCCCAGCCCAGTCTGAAGGCCGCTGCTTGCCCAGGCGTGGCGACGACTGAAGCATGCCGTGAGGACTTGGTCTGTGGCTGGGCTTGAGAACATTGAACGACCCCGTAAAGCTCAGGCCTGTGTTTCATCGGGAATGGCATGCCATGACAGTCTCAACATGATTGTGTCAGCGTAGCTGCTGCGATGGTCTTGACACACAAGGCCCGAGGCACGGCAGCCCCGTCAGGTCAAGCGACTGAATGGGGAAGTGAGCAGGATCGTCAAGGACGGTGTGATGGACTCAGCAGCCAGCCCTGGCACCTACACCCGGAATGTCAACTCTTGCCGTCCCGTGAGCCCTGCATCCGTCAGCGAGCCGACCCTCCAGCATGGTCGTGTGTCATTGGTAGAGTTCGACGCGGTGCAATGCGGCTCTGCTGTCGTTTCTGCGCTGCTCAAGTCGTCCGGTTGGCCAGTGATTTCTGGGTTTGTAGGATGTCAAAAATCCGGTGCAAGTGGGTCGCCTATCATCTGCGGCATCAGAGCTGGAAGAGGCGAGGACTTCAGCGAAAGAGAGGGCGGTGTAATCAGTGTAGAAGGCGGAATCCCTTGAGGCGACTGCTGGACGGCTTTATTCCTTGGGCCTGAATTACAGACGAAGTGTTGTGCCGACGACCCGTGGCATTAGAAACGTGCGTCGTACTTCAGGTGCCGTTTCCCTTGATCCTTTGGCTCACACAAACACATACGTACTTTTGTAGCCTTCACTGCAACAGCGATGGGAACTTGTTGAACATGCTGTTTGGTATCCGTTTTACCCCAGCCCGTGGTAATGGGCAGTTGAGTAGAGAGACCACCTTCATTGCTCGGGGATGCCCGTGGTCTCGTGTTCCCGAACCTTCTCAACTGCCTTTTATCATTGCTTCTTCTTATTGGCAAGCCTATGCAATTGTTCTCGGATATCATTCTCGAGAAGCGGAAATCGGCCATGTGCAATGGAAATATTTCGATAGTAGCTTGGTTAGAAAGGGCGGATGGCTTAGAAGACACCACTCTGCCGGCTTTCCTTAGGCCGGTAACCGATCTTGTTGATGTATACCTCCAGGAGGTGCTCTTACCATTGTTGCCATTCCTTGATTTTATTCCCCCCACCCCTCCCCTGAAGTTCCTCTTCTGTCGCGTTTCTCTTCTTCCTTGTCCTGTTGCTTTGCCTCAATCTGTTCTTTTTCCCTAATCTGTAAGCACGGCCTAAATTCTTTCGCGTGATGGTATACAATTCGAATGAGACAGTGTCGCGTCATGCTCTACACGTGAACTGGTTCGGCCCTTTATGCCCCCCAGAACCGTCTCACGGCGCGAGTCCACGGTTATATAGTACCACGATGGGCCCCCAGGTGGCTATAAGTTCCCACGTATGTCTCCTGGGGCTAATTGACAGCAAACCAGCGCAAGCCCTCAAGGCCCGTTAAAGATTTTCCTGCAGACTAGAATGGCGGTCATGGAGCTGTGGTGCCCTTTGGAAGCTAGACTAGCGCGAAGTGTGACTGCATGTCTTCATGATGGGATGTTTATGAGCCGAGGCAGACCTTCTATGCCAGATCCGTAAGGCTGATTCTTAAGACTTTGCCTTTTGATCCAGTGAACGGTCCAGGCTAAATCATCTTCTCAAGCGATGAGCAGAGGACAACGGCGCTACAAAGTCTTCTGCTTGGTCCGGGGGCCGTTCCAAGGCACGACTCCAGTCCTACCCAAACCTCAACCAGATTGCTGATAATCGAGATGTTCGAGAACAACAAGGTATGTCCCATGTCTGCCAAATCAGGCGCGCAATCGTTTTTGGACGAATATCCATATGCGTCCTGCCATGTTGAGACCGGGATATCCAGTTTCGAGCGCCTCGTTCGTTCAGACGAGTCTATGAGACGCCATTCGGCTGCCGAGTCACTTTGGGAAGACTCCTCGGCTCCTCCGAATCACAAAACCATCTCGAGCGAAAGCGAAGGCGGGCCATAAGCGCAGTCCTCGCAACGAATCAGTAAATTGAGATGGAAAGGGCGTTACAGACAAAACCTCTGCAGCCCCGGGGGCAGTCAACGAGAGGTCCCTAAACGGCTAGACTCGAGTTTCTGCAGGATGCTTACGTCCAGTGCCTACTGATCGGAAGGCTGTTCATTAATCTGCGACAGGGTCCGGGCCAGCTGCGTGACATCGTGTCTAACACGTGTGGCCGCTGGCTTGACATGCCTGCGAAGCCTGCCGTTGAAATCGGGGGGGTAATATGTTGAACTTCTCCGCAGGGCCTGGGGAGATGACCCAAGGCTTTCCAGATTTGGCCGTACATTCACGTAGCGTCCGCAAGAAGACATGTAATCCTCAGACAACGCAGTCTTGGTCATGCATCTGACTTTTCATTCCACTGTTGGGAACGCGACGGTGAGGCTGCGGAAAATTTATTCTGAAGTCCTACGAGCTGGTCGATTTAGCCGACAAGCCTTTTGGAAGACTCTAGCAAAGCTCAAGCCATTTCTCGATCCTGTGGTTTTGTGAGTCATGGGTTGGGCATTTCGGCTGATGAACTCGCCCACGAGACCAAGTGGAGAAGGTTCGAAAGATAAGACGTAGAGGTTGCAATCGTTGACGAAGCATGACCCGACCATACGCATGGAAGAAAACATCGCGGCAGTTTTGATATTTTGTCCACATGCTAGACAGCCGCGATGTGACTGACTCCAACACGACATCCGGACAGTCTCAGTAATGAGATTTGGTTGCTATTAAGCACACAATCGCTAGTCTGACTGCCAGGCGCGAGGCTTTTTGGAACAGTGAAGGTAGTCGGGGGTCAATTCAGCTTTGCCGGGCGATGACGCCTGAAGCAACTCTCGGCGCCCGATATAGACGAGAGGAAGCAGAGAAGCTCTGGCGGCCCACATCGAAGAAGTGAATCTAAATTCTCTGAGTGATCGGCGGTTGAGGGGTTAGATCAGGCCCATCCATGTAGACTAGGCAGGCATCCATTGATTCGCATGAGCCAAAGCCCACGGGAGTAGGCGACCGGCAATAACTCTGAGTCGCTCCTGGCACAGGCTAGCAGCCGGCCGAAGTTTTGACGGGGTTTCCGCGAAACCAAAACCAGACCTTTTTTGCCCGGCTAAACCTCGGCTGTAGTCCTCTCTGACAACTGGCCCCACAAGGATGATCCCCCCTTCGTGTTCCCGACCCACGACAGGAGACGCAAGGGCTATTCACGTCAAAGGCTTTGCGGTTGTGCGTGCCAGACTCGCCGGACTTGGTAGACACATCAGCTGCAACGAGTATGCCGTGCGACCGCCATATGTGTAGTCATGCCCCTCCACGATGGCGTGAGGCTCCCTATCGGACCTCACTGCGTGTCGGGCCGTGACACTTTCCTAAAAAGGCCATGGCTTGACAACTTGCAGAGGAGAGGGCCCACTCTTCCATGACAGTGTTCTCGCTATGCAAGTGCTTGTCTCATGGACTGATCGTATTTAGTCTCTCTCTGTCTATGCCTCTCTTTCAAGGGTCTTTGCATTTGCTGAACTTGCTGGTAGACTCAGGTGATTCTTTTCGAGATTCATGGAATAGCGTTTTGATTGTTTTGCTTCCCCGTGCGTTCTTGCATCATGACGGCCGACAGCTCACGTCCGAGGAGTTCTAGTGTCGATCGCAAAACGACGACAGATAATGACTCCGGAATATCACCACAGAAAGCCGCCACAACAAAGCCACTGTACTCATACAATGATTCCAGTCTGTCGACCGACGAGCGGGTCGCGGACCTCCTTTCCCGCATGACACTGGAGGAAAAGGCCGGGCAGCTATTCCACAATATGATCATTCCGGGTCCAGGAGGCTCCCTCGCCGAGGCTAATCCAGCAAACGGGTTTCCTTCGACCAGGGAGATGCTCGACGACAAGAAGATGTCGCACTTCAACATCATCGGCCCAATCTCGGACCCGCGCCTCGTCGCGCGCTGGCACAATAAGTTGCAGCAGCACGTGCTGGACCACTCGCGGCTCGGCATCCCCGTCACGCTGTCGTCGGACCCGCGCAACCACTTCGACACCAATATCGGGACGGGTTCCCGGGCAGGCGCTCTAAGTCAGTGGCCCGAGACGTTCGGCTTCGCGGCGCTGCGCAGCCCCGAGCTCGCCCGCCGATTCGCGGATGTCGTTCGGCAGGAGTACATCGCCGTCGGCCTGCGCGTAGCACTACACCCGCAGGCTGACCTGGCGACCGAGTACCGGTGGGCGCGGGTCAACTCGACGTTTGGAGAGGACGCCGACGTGGCTTCCGAGTTAGTTACCGCATGTGTTGGGGGTCTTCAGGGGCGCCTTTCCAGGACTGGGGATGGTCTGGACAGCGTGTCGACGACGACGAAGCACTTCCCTGGTGCTGGCCCTGAGATGGATGGGGAGGACTCCCACTTCACCTACGGCAAAGAGCAGATTTACCCTGGTGGAAATTTTGAGTATCATCTGGAGCCGTTTAGAAAGGCAATTCTGGCTGGCACAAGACAGATCATGGTACGTTGCGTAACTGATCGGAGCTTGCTTGAATTCTTGATTCAGTGCTGTGAAGTTCTCTGAAGCTGATTATGCTACGTGACTCTAGCCCTCGTATGCGATGCCAGTCGGAACAAAGTACGAACAAGTCGGCTTCGCCTTTAACAAGGGAATCATAACGGGCCTCCTCCGCAAAGAGCTTGGCTTCGAGGGCATTATCGTCACGGACTGGGGCCTCGTCACGGACGCAGTCATCCTGGGCCAGGACATGCCGGCACGAGCGTGGGGTTGCGAGCACCTCAGCGAGCTGGAGCGCACGGTCAAGATCCTCGACGCAGGATGCGACCAGTTCGGCGGCGAGTCGGTGCCCGAGCTGGTCGTGCAGGCCGTGGAGGAGGGGTTCGTCTCAGAGGTGCGCATCGACGAGTCGGTCCGCCGCGTGCTTAGGGAGAAGTTCGTGCTCGGTCTGTTCGACGGCAAGCGCTTCGTGGACGTAGAAGAGGCGGGAAGAATTGCGGGCAAGCCCGAGTTCATCGCGCAGGGCCAGGCTGCGCAACGGGAGGCGTTCACAGTACTCACGAACCACGGAGCGGTGTTCCCTCTCCCTGCGTCCCAACAAGACAGAACGTTCTACGTGGAGGGCTTGGATGCCGATGTCGCCCGGAGACGGGGCCTGAAGATCGTTGACACGCCTGCTGAGGCGGACATCGCGCTGGTCCGGCTGAGAGCTCCGCACCAGGCGCGGCCGGGTGGCTTCGAGTCGATGTTCCATTCAGGGTCGCTTGAGTTTCCCGAGAAAGAAGCCGCGCGCGTGTCGAACCTGATCAGGTCGGTGCCCACATCGATCGTCGATGTCTACCTGGACCGCCCAGCTGTGCTGACGCCCATTGTCGAGGCCCAGGAGGCTGCCAACGGTAGTAGTTGGGTAGGAAGTGCCCTGACAGCGAACTACGGGGGCGACACAGACGCGTTCCTCGACGTGTGCTTGGGCATTGGGAAGTCGTCGCCCCGGGGCAGGCTGCCGTTTGACCTGCCACGGTCGATGAAGGCTGCGAGCGAGAGTCGAGAGGATGTGCCCTTCGACACGAAAGACCCACTGTTTCGCTTCGGACACGGTCTCGAATACCCGAATTGAGATTGGCCCAGTGCGTATTGAGGGGCCTGTTCGGGGACTGTTCACATGCCAGGGGGCCTTCCATTGAAGCCGAAAAGCTGCATGCTGTATGTTGCATGCTGCACATCCTTCAAACTGTTGGGCTGGAGGAAAGGGAAAGTGGTGGGGGAGGGGAGGGACCTAGATAGTGATGAGGGTTGGGGCTAGCTAGGTGGGTCCCCGTTGCCGTGGAGAAACGGTCCAGATTCTCCGTCTCAAGGGCAGGGCAGCATGAGCCTCAGGGCGCCATGAACGACTCAATAATCTTTAATTCACTGCTTCAGCATGCCTAAACTGCAAAAGGGGCGGCCGCAGCTGAGTTGTATGCTTTTTTTTTGACACCTAGGTCACCATGTCGGCGTGGAGACAGAAGCAGTGGACAGTGAAGGTCCAGGTTTGCACGTCATCTGTGGAACGAACGCCCGCCTGAAACTCGACGGTGCAAACCTCCGTGCATGTTTTGGAGGGCCGTGGTAGGGTGTGTCCTCCCGCCTGCCTGCCCAGTTTGCAAGTGCAGGTGCAGGTTGGTGCAGGTGCAATGCAGGTGCAGGAGCAGCACAAGCAAATCAAGCAGCAACTTCTGCAACGAGTCAACATCCAACAGCCTGTGGAAGCCGACTTGCGTCCTTACTTTCTTCCTGCATCAACCACATTCCACCCGCATCCCACATCCACCTTTCTCTCCCCCCTCTCCTGCCACAGTCGACTCTCGGCAAACTCATCACCGCTGAGGCCCTTCACACACGTCCCGCAACATGGCGTCGTCGACTGAGGACCAGGTCGGCCCTCTTGGGCCTGACACCTGGTACAAATCGCTGCATCCGCTTGGGGTGGATCTCGTCGGTGATTTCGCAGGCAAGGAGCTGTTCGCCATCCACGGTGACGCCCTGATGCTCTACTGCATCACCAAGGCAAAGGTCGACCTTGACAGTAAGTGCCAGCTCCTCTGCCCTCTACACGTGGTGGCCACCGGCTTACACGTGCCATGCAGGCGGATTCCAGCTTCTGCATGCCATCCATGCTGTGGAGAGCTTCCTAAAGAAGCTGCAGGACCGTGGTTTGAACTTCCACGTTATCTGGTTCCGTGACCACGAGGCCCTGTGCTTACCGCGCGACGCCACTGATGTGCTGTCGCCAAAATACCTGTTGATACGGGCGGTCCTCATCCGCCACCTCAACCGGCAACAGCCGTCGCAGGATGCTGTCGTCTCCGAGGACGCCAAGACCATCTCCTTCGAGTTCGAAGGCCTGGACGGCCCATCCTTTCAACACTATCTCGCCAACAATGCCATCCACTGTTTCATGTGTCTGGACGCTCCTGCTTTCGGGGCATGCTCCAGCAGCTCAGAAGAGGCCTTCTTAGGCATTGCTCATCATTTTGCTGCAAGGGCATTCTGTCTCGCCTTTATAGACAGTGTGGAGTTTTCGAGCTCAAGGGTCCGTGCCTCAGTCGTATCGCCGTTGCCAAATTTGCAACGCGTGACGCCTGTCCTGCCCAAATCCCCTGCAAGAGACAGCGAGCCCGCCATCGGTCCCTCTGATGGAGACCACAGTGCCACAGAAAAGTGGTCACCATGGGGAGACAACCAGCTCCTATCGCTCCGGGAGGCAGTCTCATTACATGCGCTCGCCAGCATGGCAGCGGCGCATAGAGACGAATCGGCCAAATTTTCGGCCTTTGCTTCAGCCTTCATTGTTCATCTCGTCCTTCTGCGGCACTTGCCCCTCTCACAGCGATCTTTCAGTGCCGTCCAAGATCGAGGTGAGAGAGACACGCAGGCTTTCCTGGCAGAGTTTTCAAGCAAGAGCACCGCCTTACTTGATCAATTCGCACCCACCCTCCGCTGGGATATCTTCGACCTTGTGGACGGAAGGCTTCTGGGATACGTCCTGAGCCAGAAGCCACAGCTTCCTCGGTCCTTGGTCACAGCAGTGCACGCATTTGCGAACAAAATCGAGGAACTGACGAGTGTCAGCCTAGCGGATTCCCTGCCTGCTCCGGAGACATCTCCGGATGCTGTCCCGCGAACGGCGCAGAACGGCGACGAGGGTAGCCTCAATGAACATGGGGTATTGCCCTTCAGCCAGCCTGCGCTTAACGACTATCTGCAAGACATTCACCTTGTCCCAACGAACAGTTCTGAGCAGGAAACCCTTCCCAAGATCTTCAGAGAGCTGACCCATTGGCACAATGCCCGTGTCTCGGTTGCTAGCAGACGCCCTCCTGCGCCCAAGAATTGGCGCGAAATGAGAGCTGACCAGAAGATGATGGCCAGCACAATCGCATACTCAGCAAGTCTAACAAATGCTTCTGGCAAACGTATTGAACCTGAAGTCATCATCGGAGGCATCAATCGGGACCAAAGCTCGGTGACCAAGAAGGAGGTCAAGAGAGAAGCCAAGAAAGAAAGCGAAGAGAACAAGCCTACGAAGCAAGCCGCGCAGAAGGGTGGGAAGAAGGGCAAGGCGAAGAGCGGTAAAGAGCTGGCCATGGAGACCAGTCAGGCTTTGCAGGACAAGAAAGCTTCTTCAAAAACTAACGACAGACTGATCTGGTGGGAGCAGCAGTGCAAGCAACTGTCGCAAGAGCCAGACTTGGTCAAGAGATATCTCAAGACCATCAAGTATCTCAGTGCTTTGTCTGGGGATCTCGCCTCATCAATTGGGGCGGAAGTCTCCTTGTATGCTTGCAACGTTCTCGCCGCCATACTCGTCCAAGCAGGCAATGAACCTCAGACGAGGCAGAGCTTAACCGCCCTGATCTGGTCCATCGTCCGCAGTGTCAACAACGCCAACCTTAGCGCACCCACTGCCAAGATGCTCAACGTTCTTGCTTCGTCTCTGCAGGTTCCAGCAGAGTTCGCCACTGACCCCTCGTCGCCCGCGACTCGAAAACTTCCGTTCTCCTGTGTCTTTGATGCCAAAAACGGGGTAACGAACCTGGCACCTGTTGACCTCGACTTCCAGCTACAACACTGCGGACCATTCCTCGAGCGAAGCTTCGATCCCGCCCCGGATCCTCGTGTGCCTTTCAATCCAGATGGCTGGCAGCGAAATGTTCTTAATGCTATTGATGCAGACAAGAGCCTCTTCGTTGTAGCGCCAACGTCAGCTGGTAAAACCTTCATCTCTTTCTATGCCATGAGGAAAGTACTCAAGGAAAGCGATGACGGTGTGCTGGTATATGTGGCACCAACAAAGGCTCTTGTCAACCAGATCGCTGCCGAAATCCAAGCGCGGTTTACCAAATCTTACAAGCACGACGGACGGTCCGTATGGGCAATTCATACTCGTGACTACCGAGTGAACAACCCAGCCGGATGCCAAATTCTGGTCACGGTTCCACACATCTTGCAGATCATGCTTATGGCGCCGTCTAACGCCGAGCATGAAAACTCGTGGTCACGCCGAATCAAGCGCGTCATCTTCGACGAGGTTCACTGCATCGGGCAAGCTGATGATGGAGTCATCTGGGAGCAATTGCTGCTCTTGGCCCCGTGCCCTATCATTGCTTTGTCGGCCACTGTTGGTAACCCTTTGGAGTTCCGGCAATGGCTCGAGAGCGCAGCTAAGTCCAAAGGCCTCGATTTTGAGACCATTGTTCACCAAACACGGTACTCCGATCTACGCAAGTTCCTCTGGCAGCCATCCAAGCAGTACACTTTGGACTTCTTGGATCCTGTGGATAGATTACCTGTCCCTGGACTGGACGATAACAGCGCAAACTCCTCAAACTTCTTCCCGATTCATCCCGTGGCTACGCTGGTCAACAGGAACCGCGAGACTCTTGATGATCTCACTCTGGAGCCGCGTGATTGTCTCTTGCTGTGGAAGAGCATGGCAAAACATCAGAGCGCTGATTATCCCCTCGATCGAGAGCTGACCCCGCCAAATGTCTTCCCCAAGGTTGCAACAAAACCCGACGTGGCAGAGTACGAGGCTTCGTTGAAGAAGACTCTCCATTCCTGGATGCTGGATCGCAATTCGCCGTTTGACGCTGTACAGAAAGACCTGCGACCGCAATGCCATGTCTCAGCATCATCGCGCCAGGGGCTTGAGGATTCGGCCCTTCCGCTCTTGACAGATCTTCGCTCACAGGGTGCTTTGCCAGCTATTCTGTTCAACTACGACCGGGTTGCTTGTGAGGAGATCGCATTCCGTATCCTCTCCGACCTCCAAGAGGCGGAAAATGCATGGAAATCAACAGATGCTGGCTGGAAAAGGAAGGTTGCCAAGTTCGAGCAGTACAAGAAGGATCAGGCCAAAGCCGATTCGCTCAGACAGAAGACCACCAAAGCAAAGGCCAAAGGCAAGCGAGACGAAGACGATATGGGCGATGGGAGAATGGATGATGACCCGAGTACTCTGTCGGGTTTCGACCCAGACGCTCCTCTGGAGCGCTTCTGCCTCGGTGACGAGACCAAGATCACGAGGTCTGAGCTGGAGTGGATGATCTGGTCCCTTCGCTGGAAGAACCTCAACCCCGATATTTTGAACGCGCTCCGCCGTGGAATAGGCATTCATCATGCCGGTATGAATCGCAAGTACCGTCAAATTGTCGAAATGCTTTTCCGCAAGGGCTTCCTCACTGTGGTCGTCGCCACTGGCACCCTAGCCCTGGGTCTCAACATGCCCTGCAAGACGGTGGTCTTTTTCGGAGACTCCGTTTTCTTGACCGCTCTGAACTACCATCAGGCTGCAGGTCGTGCAGGTCGAAGAGGATTCGACTTGCTCGGAAACGTGGTCTTTGTCGGTATGCCCCAAGAACGAGTGTACGAGATTATGTCCTCCAGGCTGCCTGATCTCAGGGGACATTTCCCATTGTCGACCTCTTTGGTGCTGCGGACGCTCAGCTTACTTCACCACACCAACAACTCGGACTTTTCAGTCGGCGCCGTGCAGTCGCTGTTGTCACAGACACGATTGTACCTTGGTGGACCTTCTGGGCAGCTTTCCATAAAGCACCACCTGCGTTTCTCCATTGAGTATCTTCGGAGACAGCACCTTCTCTCTGAAGATGGTGCTCCGCTCAACTTTGCCGGCCTCGTTGGCCATCTCTACTTCACGGAGAACTCGGTGTTCGCCTTCCACTCGCTTCTCAAGGAAGGCTACTTCCACAAGCTATGTGAAAAGTTTCGCACTGCGTCCGAAGCAACGCTCCTGGAAATCGTTCTTGTACTGTCGCACATTTTCGGCCGCATATCGACCAACACTTTCAAGAAAGACTGGATGGGAGCGGTGACCAAATCTGACTCAATCGTATTCCTTCCGCCTCTACCAGAGGATGCTCTGCAGACTCTGAGGCAGCACAACCAGGAGACACTTGACATATTCAGGACCTACGTCAGCACATATGTCCGACAGCACCTGGAAGACAAGCCGGACATGCATCTGCCTTTTACCAAGGCTGAGGCTGGAGCGCCAAAGAGTACCCTTGGCGAAGTTGACGTTGAAGGGGTTTTCAGCGAGGGTCACAACCCGCCGACTAAGCTCCGCTCACCTTTCCACGCCCTCTCCGGATTCGGCGACAATTCTTTTGAATCCATCCACGAGCTCTGCGATACCGTTCGCAGCGACGTCTTCCTCGAGGAGTCAGCAATTCCTTATATTCCCCTGTTCCCTGACGACACCAACGGTGTCCCCTGGAATGCATATCTCTACGACTTCTTCAAGCACGGGGATATGGAGGCCCTGGTCAGAGACAATCACATCAAGAAGGGCGACGTCTGGTTCCTACTCAAGGACTTCTCGCTGGTTCTGGCAACAATCGTCACGAGCCTGACAAACTTCTTGGATCTTGACGCCGGAGCTGACTCGGACCTGGCCATGATGGACGTCCAGGACGCCGAGGATGCGGCACGTGAGACCTCTGATGCGCTGGAGCCCGATGACGGCCCCAGCGACATGGCCCATGGCGCGTTGCCGGTCCAAGACGAGGGCCCGAAGAAGCCCGAAGCAACTGTCGCCCTGAAGAAGACCAAGAAGCCGAAGGTGATTGACTCGTGGGATGATGACGAGAGCAGCGAGGATGAGGCTGCAGCTGCAGAGGCTGCCGAGGCTGCCGCCAAGGCTGCCGGGCCCGCGTGGGAAGGCGATGGTGAGAGGAACCTGGCGCAAGTGCTACGGATGTTCAAGATGGTGCAGCAGCAATTTGACGAGAAGTTCAGGAAGCAGTGGGCTTAAGGGTTGTGTCTTCGGTTGTCGGTGGTGTACATTCTACCTACCTGGTGTGGTTGGCGGTATTGTCTGGCCGCCTTGAAGGCTTGGTGTGGTCTAAGTTTCAACATGGCCGGTGGCTAGGAATGGATGAAGATATGAGTGTCTAGATCATAGATCAAGATGCTTTAGATGATAGACAGTACATTCGCAGCACTGATTAGACGTGTCATGAGAATGAAAAGTATTTGGTATTCAGCAACGGACCAAGTCGTGCCTAGCATTTATCCTTCACTCTCTTATTATTTTCAAGGGGGCATGAAGCCGGTTTCTCAACGGGCAGCAAGCAGCTTTAGTGAGTCCCTTTCCGCCATCTTGTGTGCGACAGGTGGCAGATTGCAAGGTGAAAGCCGAAACAGGACAATGTCCGTGATTTGTCTCCAATACATCCCTATTATTTCAAAGCTCGTCGTGCTCTCTGTCAACAGACTTCTGGGGGCCAACGCTGTAAATCCTGCCGGCTGGATTGAAGTCCAGTAACTTACGAGTCCTGATGGTTGAAACCTTAGTATTAAAATTTACACATCTCTGTGCCTGGCAGGGATGACTTACACGTCCCATAACATTGACTTGCGGCGGTTGAACTCTGTAAATGGGGACATGTCGGACTTGTTGGCAAGCCACTCTTTCGTATCCCGGACGACTCTCTCGGCCTCCCTGCAGGTTCTCTTAGCTTTGTCTGGCGAGGTGTGGAACAGCTTGCCTACTTCTTCAGGTCGTCGGCAGCGCCGGGCACGTCTACGACGTCGCCCCTGGACATGGCTCGCTCCACAATGTCGATGTAGCGCTTCATGCCCGCCTTGTCGATTGGTGTAGTATCCTCGAACTGCCGTCTATAGTGTTGTTAGCAAATCACGCGTTCACCCGATTCGTACTGGGACTTGTCCGGGTAACAATACTCTGCCTCAAATGCAAGCTGCTCGATGTCCTTATATGGTACTCCACTTATAACGGCAGTATTATTCTGGCGGGACTGTCAGCTGGTGGCTTGAAGAATCGGTAGTACTCTTACGAAAATGGCTGATGCTTCGATATTCGTGCCTGCATACAGGTCAGCCACGTACCCCACCCAGTCTGTGTTCATTTTGGACTTTACCAAGACACCGGGCAATAACTTTGAGAATATTAAGGGACTGGCAAATTTTATCAATTTGGTCGTCGTTTTCGAGTCCTTAAATTCTTGGAGAGGACATACATCGACTTCAAACGAGATCTCGACAACGGGAACATGCCGGGGTGCTCGAGGAATTCCTGTCAGCTCAATTTCTCCCAGGAGTAAGTTGTCTCTGGCCATCATGCGATCGCCTTCGAGGAAACGAATGACCATAGAGTCTTGATCGTCGTAAGCCGTAGTCAAGTTCTGGACCCTGCGTTTGGGAATCGGCACCCTGCGCGGGACGATCTTGTGCATGTAGCCCTCGCTTGTTTCCTGGTGTGAATATCAGCATACTCCCAGAGAATCTGCTGCTTGGATGGCAATCAACATACCAGACCGAGGCTGAGAAGAGTAACGGATACATAAGAAGCCACGACGGGCTCCTCATCAGACAAGACTCTGGCTTGGATGGCTGCGCCTTTCAGGACGGCTTCCTCCGCGTCGAAGTCCCTGTCGGTCCAAGGGTCGTTCCGTCGAAGGGCATCCAGGAGCCAGGTAGCCTTTCAGAATTGTTGTCAGCCCCCATCGAGAAAGAGTGGTCGGGTAATCTGTACCATTGGAGATTTGCTGAAGCCGCCAATTGCGAGAACCCTTCCGACATTGTTTATGCTTGAGGGGATGTAGGGCATGTCCTCCTTCGGAAACCACCTGCTCTCTTCCCATTCCATGGTCATATTCGAAGCGTCTAAAACTCTGTCAGTACTTGATACTGAACAAGGAATTTACCTGATCCGTACGTACCCAGCACATGCTCGAGTGGTTCGATCACCTCGGCAGTGAGGTCTGTACCAAAGTCTCGAGTCGAAGGCTTGATCTTGGAGTTCGACAGACCCGGGCAGTGTTTTAGACTGTCAACGGGTAGGCAGTATGCAGATGGTCCAAATAATCGGTGTCTCTGGGTATCCTCAATACTCTCTTCCAGTCTGATTCGGGCCTGCCGATCGAGGAGTACTCCCTCCGAGGCGCACTGAGCAGCGATGCTGACACACATTAGCTTGACGAAAAAGTGGGCAGAAGAGAAATCATGTCTCACTAGTCCACGAGCCGCCTGTTGAACAAGCGTCCGCTGATTGGCGTCGATACCGTTGCCAGTATCTCGATGACCCCCTGGTCAATATAGAGCATGGTTACGTCGGTCTTACTGGCACCCATATCCAAGACAAGGACGTTTTGTTCGTCGTCCAGCCTATCCAATTCGTACCCTATCGCCACCGCCGCTGGCTCGTTGATAATGCGGATTACGTTCAGGCCAACCGTGGTGCCCGCATCCTTGACGGCCTGTCTTTGGTTGTCGTTGAAGCTGCTCGGCACGGCCATCACCGCGCATCCCATGTAGTCGCCAATGGTTGCCGCTGCCGTGTGTCCCAACTTTGCCATCAACATTCCTGCTATTTGTTCTGGTGTGAACGTATTTTCTCGTCCTTGTATGTCCACTTTGACGACCGGCTTTCCTTCCTTTCCCTCGACTCGATAGTGCAGGCTTTTGACTATCTCCTGCACCTTCGGATCCGACCACCTTTGGCCAAGTAGCGTTCGCACGTCGCAAATGGTACGGGATGGGTTGTCAGTCCTCTGAGACCTTGCTTCTGCCGAGAAGTTAGGGCACACCGAAGGGCATCAGGTAACTTGGCATATACGAACCGTTGCCGACTAGAACGCCCTGGTCTGTGAAAGCGACACAGGACGCCATGTGATCTAGAACATCAAGTTTTCCATCTCTTATTATGCCTACCCGCGAATTCTCCTAGAAAAGTTTAGCACGCTTCTGTCTCAGGGGCCTTGTTTGGGTTCTTTGAAAGACTCGGAGTCCACAATATAGGTTTTTTTAATTGCTTGAGTCGTGGTCAGACTCACACTACCGATATCCTAAAATATGCAAAGGTGAAGGTTAGTTTCCATGGCTCTGAATCCGACTAGAATAAGCAGAGGAGCAAAGACCATTACCAATGTAAGACTTACAATACCGACGACCGTACCGTATAGCGAGGGATAAGGTTGTTCGGCCGAGTAGTCGTGGCTACGAGGAGCCAGGACAACAAGCACACAGAGAATCACGAGGGGCAAGCCCCATCCGATGTTCCTTTGTCGTGATTGTGTCATTTTCAATTTTTTTGTGTGGGTGAGTATCGTTTCACGCACCGGAGGGACCATGCAATAAAAGTTACAGACGGCCAAAAGAAGGTGCACAGCAAGCTTCCAGGCTGTATTTATAATTCAATACTCACTCTGGTGACGGTGTCAAATGACACAGTAGTTCGTTTTACGAGATTTTGCCAAAGAAACGTGTCCAGGAGCCATGATATGATTCTACAACATCGGCACAGGCAGCAGGCCAGTGGGTGGGAGGGAGGCTGTCAGCAGAAGCTTGGCCCAAGGGCTAACCTGTTGCGATCGACCCAAGAGATTAGTGGAATCCAAGTAAACCCTGGTTGGCCCTTTCCGTCGCATCTCGCTGTTGAGGGTGAATTGTGCAACCGTGTCAAATGCATGGCGTTCCGCACTGCTGGCTGTGTTTCCTGTGCCGAACTGTCCTCTTCTGCTCTAATTTTTTTTTTTTTTTTTTTTTTTTTTTTTTTTTTTGCATTTGGCTGCTGTTGTTAACCGCTAATGCATGACCTAAATAATTTCCCCCCAATTGCTCGCTACCACAGGCTTGTTTTTTGGTGTTTGAATTGTGTGTCATCTCACAAGCCAGACTGATCAGACCACATAATGCAACCCTCAATTACCCAATTAAGTCTGAGTTTAAGTCTGAGTGCGAGGGTAAGCAGCGATTATGCAGTGGGATCTAAGGCGTCCAATGGGTACCATGATTGTGTGTCGCAAATTCCGTAAGCGCTGGTTGCCTCAAATCCTGCAGAAGTTTTAGCTGAGAAAGCGGGGACGTTCACTTTGCTAGGCCATCCATCTGTGATTGAAGCTGTCCTCACTCATCCAGGCCAACTGATTGCTGTCCGACAGTTCACCATATCGGTCTCTTACAATACACACGACTCTTCGGCCCTCATCCATTTTTGATCCTTATTTGAAGACGCGCACCATGGACCCTCTGACGGCCATAGGCCTCGTTTCCAACATCCTCTCATTCATCGACTTCAGTGCCCGACTTATCAAGAGCGCCAAGGAAGCCCACGATTCTCAGCATGGGGTCCTCGAGGAAAATCGGAGCCGTGAGGCGGTTGTGCGAGACATGCAGCGAATGTCAACACGGATGTTGGTCTCCGGATCGCCAGACAAAGCGGACGACAATTCAAGTTTGAGCATTTTGGCCACAGAATGCCGTCAGCTTTCAACCCAGTTCATTTCTTTATTGGAGAAAATTAAACCCAAAGACCCAGGCTCCACGACTCAAAGCCTCGCATCGGCGCTGCGGAACAAGATCTACGATAGTGAGAGGGCAGGCCTGGAAGCGAGACTCAATGACTGTCGGACCCAACTTCATTTAGAACTCAGTAATCTGACAAGGTAAGCTGTACTTGTTCTCAAAAATGTCGTATGCCTGATTCGCTGACTCGAAATAGGGCTGAGACGCTTGAGAAGTTGGACAGCTTAATTCAAGCGTCGAAACTGGACGAGGCCAAGCTGAACAGGATTGAGAGCCACATTGCACAGCTACGCGAAAATATCAGTTCAGCCCCTTCCACTTCGGAAGCTAAGCCGATGCTGATGACGCTTCTTGCGGAGGAAGAGAAAGTCTTCACATCAATGGCTCAGGGCAAAATACTGAGCTGTCTCTCCTTTGAGGGAATGGATCGACGCTCTAACATGGTGGTTGATACACATTCCAATACCTACGAATGGATACTAAAAGACGACTCCGTGGCCGAGGAACCGTCTGAGGAGCACGATGGGGACAGTGTGGTTGACAGCCAGCCACGGGGAGTTGAAGACATTGAGAAAATCCGTGCAAGAGAGAAGCTTAGGACATGGCTGGGAAGCAGAAGTTCGCGCGATGTTTTCCATCTGTCTGGAAAGTTAGGATCTGGAAAGTCGACGTTGATGAAGCACATACGGGCGAGTCCTCGCACCGAAGAGAAACTCAACTCGTGGGCAGGTAAGCACGTGTCTCACACCTGCCTCAGTCAAAGATGCAATCACTGAATAGTTCCATCGACATAGACGGCCGCAAGTTGACCATCGCCTCCTTCTATTTCTGGAATATTGGCTCCGATTACGAAAAGTCGCTTCAGGGACTCTATCGCAGCCTTCTTTATCAATCTTCAGCCAGTGCCCAGACTTCATACCCCAGGTCTGGCCGGCTCAATGGGCACAAGCCAATTCGGCGCCATGGCTTGTCTCCAAAACCATCGAAGTCTCAGAAAAAGACGTAATTCAAGCCTTCCGCGGAGTCATTGAGGCTCACGATGTGCTGAAGAGTCACTGCTTTGCCTTTTTCATCGACGGCCTCGACGAGTTCCAGGCGACCGTACAAGACGACCATCGAGACTTGGTGAGATTATTGTGCAAGTGGGCAGCAAATCCATCTGGAAATATCAAGTTATGCGTATCAAGCCGAGAGTACCCCGCCTTCATGGATGGTTTCACACCAACTCTGAGAATCCGCTTCCATGACTTGACGAGGCGCGACATGGACATCTATATTCGAGACAAGCTTGCGCATGCGAGCGCAGAAGAGAGCTTCGAAAATCTTGTCTCATTGATTATGAGCAAGGCAAACGGGGTTTTCCTATGGGTAGCACTCGTAGTAAAATCTCTCAGGGAGGGACTGGAGGACGGCCTGTCGTGCTCAGACCTGACACAAGAGGTTGATATTCTCCCGGACCAATTGGAAAGTCTCTACAAACACATTTTAATGTCTATGGGGAAGTCAAAACGCAGGAAAGCTTACCAGACGTTTTCGATGGTGATGGAGCTCAAGAAACACGGCGACTACAGAATGTCACTACTCGCATATTCCTTTCTTGAGGAGTACGAGGCCGGAGAAAACTTCTTCATGAACGGAGACAACGTCTTCCCCATGAGCAAGCTCACCGGCGAGCAGGGTACGAAACGGGCGGAATCTTCAAGCAGAAGATTAGCCGGCTGGTGCAAAGGCCTCGTCGAGCCTTACGAACGGCCTCTGTGGAGTACAGGGCCTACAAGTGAGGGACCTTGCATGGCTGCTTGGAAAAGCTGGCCCATGGAGCTAGACTTCGTGCATCGAAGCATCTCGGACTTCTTGGAATCAGATGAAGTCCAACATGACATGCAGCTCAACTTGAGACGTTTTGATCACGTCGACGCCGTTCTTAACCTGATGGTTAGCGACGTCTTGTATGAGAACGCAACGTCAGTATACAACACCTCGCGGTCAGGAATCACAAATTGTATACTTCTGGAGATCATGAAACGTTATGATCTGGTACAAGCGCCGTATACCTATCTCCAACGCGTTGGAGAATTGCTGGCCGTTGGAAAGACGAGAGAGAAACTGTCTGCAAAAACGATGTCTCTCATGGTCTTTAGTTGGCCAGGCGATGAATACAGATATCATTCGGTCGTCGACTGGGCCGAGGACGTCTCGGAGACCCTTGAGACAGTCGAAACAAATGCTGATATCTCGTCCAACTCAGGAGAGACCAAGGAAGTAAAATACCACTTTATTTCGGACCCATTACATGGACTGATCATGCATGGCCTTTTCGACTATCCCCTATGGCAAATTACCAACAAGTCGGAGTTTTCGGGACAGCCTGAAAGTATTTCGACTCTCGCGTGCTTCTGCTTATCCGGCTTCGGAGCAGGACTACCAGGTAAACCCCATCAGATTGTCAACAAACCCCACCGATCTCTGGAAGTCCTTGAAGCACTGTTCAGAAAAGGTTGGATTTCTCCCAACACCATCACAAGCTGCCGCCCGGTGATGAGATCCCCCTTTTGGTGTCAATGTCCTGAGAGCTCTCCCAATCTGACGTTGTGGCATTATTTGCTGCTTGAATTACTGATAAGACGGTACCATCCCACAAGGCAGAGTATGTCTTTGGTCATGAAAGAGAACTATGACCTACTATCACAATTCTATAGCAAGGCTCTCCAGCTGTTTCTTCGGTTTAAATCTGAGACGGAGTTTTCATTCGACATCTCCGTGAACGAGGATACCACGGCTTCGAAGAGAGAGTTTTTACTCAATTTGGATAAGCAAGGCCTGTTGTTCAAATTCACAGCCCAGTGGCCTCTTTCGGTAACACCTGGTGAGTGGCAACTACCTTGGCAGGAAAGTGAGTTCGGTCTATCATCGGAAAACGGCACACACGCGACACGACGCTTCTCTTTCAGGGAATTCATTGAGATCTCGTTGCTGGATGAAAAGGAGGAGGTCTTAAAGATTCTGGACGAACAATCAAAGCCACTTGGTGATTTTCAACCGAACATTTCGACAACGACGGCTTCGGTCACAGGGAAAGATGATGAGATGGGTGGCCAAACACAACCAAAAGATGATGATCAGCGGAATGGCGACGGGTATCCCAAATACAAGCCTACCAACAGTCCAGAGTCACAAAATTACCTAGAGAAGTCTTCTCAATGGGCCAGATATTTATGGAGAAGCGAGTATGTCAGATACGCTGTGGCTATGTTGACAGGTGAGCCTCTGGTTTGTGAGAAACCAGCCTACATGGACCTACCGACTAACAAAGATGTAGGCGTCATCCTTACCACGTTGTTCACACATCTCCGAGAAAGGCTTGAGAGAGCGCTTTCGGTTTGAATATGTTACATGCGAACATCCGGGGCGGGGGCCGTTGATTGCTATGGGAGGGGATAAACACACACTTGTGCTCAAGTAAGCATATCCTAGAATCATTCGCTTGTGAATAGACCAAGACGCATGAATTTTGTCTCTCACTGGACAATGAGAGACAGAGCTGACCTTGCACAAGGACGGTACCAGTGGTGCCAACCTCACTCCTGCTACCGAGAACATGCTAAAATTAGAAGACACTGAATAATCCGTCTCCTGACGTTGTGCCTCGATTTAGAAGCTGTACTAGATTGATTGATTGATTGAACCATGGGTGTGCTTTCCACGGATATGGAGTTGGTTTGGGTGTAGGCCAAGTATTAGGCCAAGGTTTTCAAGAATTGGAGAGACATGCCTTGTGTCGACAATGCTGAACGGCCTATTTCTGGCCTGGCTCTAGATCTCACTTTGAATCCTGAACTCCATGTTCATGAGAATAGAGAATGGAAATGTTCACAAGGTGCTCTTAAACAGGGGCCATGAACCTCAATCAACACAAATTGTCAACTGATAGACCTCAGGTGTACGTCAAAATTCTCGTTATCCACAAGCACCTCAACACCGCCGAGACAGCGGTAGAGGAAAAGTCAATGCCTACTGCCTTGCCCCCTGAACCCCCTCTCCCGTGGCGAGTCAGCGCACAGCGAAACTTGACCCTGGTAATGAACCTGAAACTGTTTCATTCACCTTCCTTTCGGGGCGCAAGTTATCTCACGATAAGTGTCATTGTCTCTAGTTGATTATCTTTCACATGGCTACGGGATGTGGACAAGCGCTTCACTATTTGGCTACGAGAAATTCACGCTTCCGCATGAACAATGTCTAAATGCTGTGCCTTGAGGAGGCGCCCAAGAGCCAGGGCGGCACAACACGGAACAGGCACTCAACACCGTCGACTTTTCAGGACGCGTTTTTGATTTTTCAAGGATACGGAGTCGCAGGTCCAGGTACATATTTCGTCGTTTTTGATCAAAAGACAATTTAACGCAGTCGTCAATCTTGATGTGGGCTCATGGATCACTGAAGATGGCCCACGAGACATCGGCACGCGCCACTTGCGTGCTTTGCATAATGATTGAAGATTTATGTCAACATCAAAGGAATCTGGCCAACAGAGTACCCGAGGCGCAGTCCCTTCGGAGAATGGGCTGTGTACGTAAGGGACGGGCCATTCACCAGATTGAGGCTCAAACAGGCTCTGGTGCCGACCAAGGATGTTTGGTCTATTCTAGTGTGGATTCGTCTGATAACTCTAAGTAGGATCTACTTTTATCCACTGCATCCGCGCCGAAGTTACCACCACGCCGGAGACTTTGTGGCAATGCAGCTAGCTCGTACGGCCGCATGACTCTGCACCTCGTTGGATCCCAATGTCTCTGCCATGCTGTGAAACGGCCAACAGCTCCATACCGAACCCTGGGTATCACAAAAGCCACGATCGCTCGCATGAAGTTGTGAAACATTCCTCTCGAGATCCATAAAATGTGGCTCCTTGTCAAGGTGGGACGGAAACAAGCATTCGGAGGTAAAGTTGGCGAACGACTTGGCAATGGGATGAACGTACAGGGACAGGGTCTGTAGGTCCCAATATAACTGGCTTTCAAGGGGCCCTGATTCTCGTCGGCCGGCCATGCCGCAGGGAGGGATACCGCCGCCATCCACGGGCCTCACGAACCAATCTGGGACTGTCGCCCCTAGCCCCGCAGCTTTTATTGCCATTGCGAGATTGTTCATGCCTGTCTTGACCCTGACTGCCGTGTCTTGGGTGCTCTTGTCAATTGTCAACCTTGCCGTATACCGGGGCTCGAGCACGCTGCCACCATGTATAAACAAGTGCTTGCTGGCCAGCAAAACTGTCTGGGTAGGCTAATGATCTTGTGGTCCATCACACAACGGCACTATATCTTCCCAAGTTCATAGGGACGCCCACTCATTTCACTCACAATCCCAAAAGCCCTTCACGATAATGCGGGCAGACATCATTTCAGCCCTTGCGGGCACTTACTCTCTCTTGAATGTCACAGTGTAAGTCCAAGTAACAAACAACCCCAAGCGCGTCAAGCCCAGACCTGTTTAGGAGTCTAACACATGCCGCCAACAACAGAATCACCTCAAACGGCACTGCCCTGCTGGACGAGGCATACGGCGCCGCGCCTGTAGGACACCTGACTTACACGCCTGAGGGCTACATGTCGGCCACGATAACAGCCACGGAGCCTGAGTGGCGGCCCCTGGACCTGACGTTCCCGGCCCAGCCGAACCAGACGGACGCGGCGTGGGCAGCTGTCGGCAAGCAGTACGTGTTGCACTATATCCTCTTCCTCTCTTCCTCTCCACTTCTTCCTGGCACCCAAAAAAATACTTGGCTAACCTCTCATGCCTCCCATCCAGCCTGCTCTGCTACGCAGGCCCCCTCTCCGTCAGCGACACCATCCCCGTCAACGAAACCTCGGGCCAGGTGATCCACGGGCCTCTGGACGTCGCCACCATCCCGGCCTGGGTCGGTACCAGCCAGGCCAGGAACTACACCGTATTCGAGGATCCCAATGGGGACACGCTGCTCAGGATCACCTCGCCGCGGCCGACCGGCACTGCGAACCTGTGGTGGCGGAAGCTGGCTTCGCGGGTGTGATGTGCTCGGCAGTCGACAGCATGGGGGGCAGCGTATTGATGTGTTCTTGTATATTTGTTCCTTTCCAAATACCCTTGTATAGTCTTCAGGAATGAACAGCGTGATGGTGTACCAGCCCCTGTCTAGAATGGGCCGTTATCCAGCACTCATCCAAGCACTTCTTGCGTACCTCACGTCAAGTATCTCGGGTCTACTGTCTATCAGCAGGCAGTGCTACTTAACCGAGAACAAATCTTTTGATATTTATCACCTCTTGCTACTCACTCCTGTCTAGTATCTACTCCACTCTATGCCTCAAAGTTCTCAAGCAAAAAGCTCGGCACCCCAGGCACAGCATTGTCACCGATGGGGCTGGTGATGTCGACCTCCTTGCCGCCGTCCGTCAGGTCGTTGCCCTTCTTTGTACCCTCCTGGATCTTGATCACGATAATCCTCTGGAAGCCCGTCGACCTCTTCAGGCCCGGCACCATGTCCAGCAGCGTCTTCTGCTCGTCAAAGGCGAGCTTACGCTCCAGCACCACCGAGGGCTCTTCGCCCGACTGCAGGCGCTTCTTGAGCTGCATGACGAAGGGCATCGCCTTCTTCATCTCGCCCATCTTGCCGATCTTGCCGTTGAGCTCCTTCTCGTTGGTGATGGACTTGTTGTTGGCATCCCAGTTCTCACGCAGCAGGTCGACGTACTTTTCTTGCCAGGCAGGGAATTTGTCGGTCGTGAAGATGCTATGAGATTGGTCAGTTAAAGGCTCTCGTCAAGGCCCGAGACTCGTGTCCCAGATGAGTCATTTCAATCCAACTTACGTCAACTGCTTGGGCTTCTTTGGGTCGTAGACAGTCTCCTTGCCCTTGGCCTTCTTCTTCAGCTGGGCTGACTCGGCGCTGTTGATGTTGCTGGACGTGTGGCGGACATAATCACGAGCAGCCGACAGAGCCGGGTTGACGACAGGCACCTCAGGGAACTGGGCCAGCTGAATGGACTGGGGCTTCTTCAGGATCTCCAGCCAGATCCACTCGCAGAAATGTGGCGCAATGACGGCCAGAACCAGGGCTTGCAGCTCAAAGTACCGGAAGATCAGCTCCCTATGCATCTTGATGCCCGCACCGATACATGCCTCACGGTAGAAGTCTCTTGCGGAAGTGAAGTCAAACCATGCAGCCTTCAGGGCCAGCTTGTAGTTCGTTGCAGTGTACTCCTTCTTTGCCTCGGCCACCAGGGCGTTCAGCTCGTTGTCGAACAGAACGTCTTGGTAGGAGTTCAAAGCCCCAGTCCTCAGCTCTGGGTCTTTGGAGACTTCCTCGATCCACTCCCTGTTGTTGAAGAGTCGCAGGACTCCGTTGTCCGCGACGTCTTCCTCGAAGTTGGCATCGGTGTTGGCATCGCCAGCATCTGCCAGAGCAATACGGGCGGCGTCAGCTCCGTACTTCTTGACAGTGTCATCCAGAGTCATGAAATTTCCGGTCGACTTGGACATCTTGGCGCCGTTCAGCATCAAGTGTCCGTTCGCACGCACTCCACGGGGCCAGTACTCTGGAGGGAACAGAGCAATGTGGTTGTAGAGGAAGACTTGAAGACCAATAATTAGCAGATGTCCATCAAAGTAGCTTCGACAAGCCTTCCATAACATGGATGTTGGGATGCGTGGGTTCACTCACAAGTAAGGTGGTTGGGAATCAGATCCTTTCCACTGACACGAACATCCAGAGGATACCAGTACTCGAAGTCACGGCGCATGCTCTCCAGGGTCGCCTTGGGGATCTTAGACTTCTCCAGAACCTCGTCGCTCAGCTCTCTCCTGCAGAAGATGTAGTCCCAGACCTCGTCAATCATCTGCTCGGGGGCTATCTTGCCCTTGCCTTGCGACCGGCCGAAGAGGTCAGTGTGCAGCCATGGCACGATGGTGTAGTAGCTCATGTAGATCGTAGAGTCACTCAGAGACTCGACCAGGAAAGTCGGGTCGAAGGGCAGCTTCGAGCCCAGGCCATAGGTTCTCGCGCATGCCCATTGGTTCAGCCAGTTCAGGACGCCGACGAAGGCATTCCTGGTCTCAGCAGAGTAGGTGTTGAGGTTGTTTTGGACCCAGTCAATGGCCTGGTCCCTCCACTGCTCCTCGCCGTAGTTGATGTACCACTGGTCCATCAGTGCCACAATACACTGGAGAAAGGCGGATGTTAGCTATTGTGAGCGATTGCATAATACGCATAGGAGAATGACTCACCTTGTCACCAGACCTGCTGACAACAACGCCCTCGGGCTCAGCATAGGCGAAGGCCTCGCCAGCCTCGATCAGGTCGTTTCGAACCTTGGGCTTCGCAGTCTCGACCTTCTCGCCCTTGTATTTGCCGACCAGGAGAGTTCCCTGGTAGAAGCCCTCCTTGTAGGCAAGTTCCTTCGCATCGGCCAAGGGCTTCGTGTCTTTGGGCGACGCAATCTTCAGCTTCTCAACTAGGGTCTTGGCACAGATATCTCCATAGCTGGGCGTGGAAATGATGGGGAAGATTTCCAGCTCGGCCCACTCCTTCTGGATACCGTAGAAATCGGCCTTCTTCGCGAGCTCCCGGACGGTTGCGTAGTCATCAGGCGAGTCCGACGGAACGCTGGTGACCACACCGGTTCCCTTCGTCTCAAGGACGGTGTCCATAGGCAGAATGCGGACGCCGTCCTTGTGCAGCGACAGAGGGGCGTGCACCAAGGTCCCGATGCAGTCAGAACCCTTCAGCTCGGCCTTTGATATCGGAGTGACACCGTCCTCCTTCAGCTTGCCCTGGAAAGACATGTTGCGAGCGGCGCGGTCTGTCATGACATAGTAATCGTTGTCGGAAGCCTGGTAAATGCCATAGACGAGCTTGGGTCCGACATAACATGATGTCTGGCCGTACATTGTTTCTGGTCGCAGAGTCGCAGGGACGAAGAAGACATTGGAGCCCTCGGGGAGCTTTCCCTTGATGGCCTCAGCCGCTTTGGGTGCCCATTCTAGGACCTTCAGCTTCAGAGCGGTGTACTCCTGAGGTCCAACGCCCTCTCCTTCACTCCGGTCGTGGTCCATACAAGGTTGGCCATCCTTGACAGAGTAAATCGTGTATCGCTTTCCGAACTTGATCTTGCCCAGTTCCTTGAGACGGATCATTTGCCACCTGACGAATGCTGGGGAACAGGATGTTAGCCTTCAACGATGAAATTCCGCAAGCCAGCACCAGCAAACACTTACCATCGTAGTATGGGTTCGCGTCAGTGGTGACGAATTGTCTCCTCCAGTCAATCCTGCAGCCCAGGGCCGAAAGATCGCGCTTGCACAGGGGAGGGAAGAACTCCAGCCAGTAGTTCGCGTCGGAAAATCTGTGGATCTCATTCCTGGGAATACCGACTGACTCCATGATCTGGAATTGGTACTTGGCCTTGACCGTCTTGGCGTTCGCCTTGCCCTTGGTGGCCTTGAATTTCGTGACGTCCTCATTCTTGGCCTGCACGGTGTTCTCTTTGCCATCCGGCTTTTCTATTGGGATCTCGGTGTCCTCGTTGTAGTTCTCGAACTCCTGGCCAAAGAGCTTGACCTCGTTTGCGATCTTGTCCGCGGATGCTCGAATAGGTAGACCGGTGCAGTGGTAGCCCTGAGGCCACAGGACCCTCTTGCCTTGCATCCTCTCCCACCCGGCCATGAACTCGATCTTGCTGTCCGAGAATGCGTGGCCGACATGCAGAACGCCGTTCCTGTCCAGCGCCCTTGTCAGCAGCACATTCTTATAGCCTGCTGGCATTATACTCCTCCAATAATCGAAGTACGTGGAATCGGGACGGGATGGCGCACATGTAAGGATATGCAATTGTACCGAAGAACTTTGGATATTTCTCTCGAAGCTCCTGGGGGCTGATCGAGTGCAGGGGAATCTCGTCGGTCGTTGGGGCGTCGGGCTGGAAGACGCGGTCGGCCTCCCATTTCGCTTGGATCTGCTTCTCCCAGGCGACCAGGGCGTCTCGCTTCTCGGTCTATACAGGGTAGGTGAGTACAGAGATCAGTATATCAGCGACATGGAGACCTACACCCTTGAGCTCCTTCGTCTTGGAGACGGGGACGATGACGTTTGGAGCCGCCATGATGGGTGGTTGCTGCTGTTTACAGCACTCGTAACAGGATTTCTGGAAGGAGGAGATGGTCAGAAAAACATGTATACGTTCTCTACTTCCAAAATTGACTCACCGCCCTAGGTCTGTGGCGGTCTTTGGTGGTCTGAATTGCGAGGCTGAGGATGTGCTCGAGGTCCAAAGTTGAGTCACGGTGGCAGGTACTCAGATGCTCCCTCTACTGGCTCTGGATGGAGGGGCCAAAATTTCACACCAGGAACCGATCGCGGGGTTGGTGGCCCATAGGCTCATGAGCCAGGCCGACGGATGCACGACAGGGATGTCGAGGCACCTTCCGAGCGAGCCAAGCTTGCAGGGGCTTGCGGTGCAGGTTAGTGGCTGCGGCAAGCTGTGGAAGGGTTTTTGGCTGGCTTCACTGCTGTGGGACTGCCACTGCTAATGCAGAATAGCCTCACCTCACCTCACCTTGCTGCACGCCACTCATCCGAGGCGTATCATCTGGTTCACTTACGATACTGAGACACGAAACATCTCGGGATCTCATCGAACATGTTTTCAACTCTCGTCAGGAGGGCTGCACAGGGCACGAAGTCCCCGTCCAGCGCAGAGTACATCCGGAAGATTAGGGAGCTCTACCCGCCCAAGAAGGTCTGGCCGCCTGACTTCAAGAGACTGTCGCCGCAGGAGCAGCTCAAATTCGAGAAGAAGTTCAAGCGGCGGTTGGCCATCAGAGCCGAACGGCCAAGATGGGCCAAGTTCATCAAGCTGGTCCCAACTCTTCACTGTTACTAGTATGTTGAGCTGAGATCTACTACCAGTGGAAATTGAAAGTGCGGAAGGGCACAAACTGACAAGATTCCAGCTGTAATTGTATACGCGGCCCTGTTCATGGACTGGACGCAGGAGCATCAACCGTTTGATGGAGTATGTGTCTCGCGGCAACCATTCGCAAAAGACTACGACTGACGTGGAGACACAGATTCGAAAAAGCTTTTGGAACTCTCTTGGATTTGAGTATGAGCCTAAGTCTGGGGGTCCTAAACAAAACAGTAACCCCGGAGGCTCACCGAGGGTCCACTGAGGTCGTCCTCGACGATCTCGCTATCTGTTTTGCTGCATTTCTCGGCGTTTGGTTGGGGATACCCAGGGCATAGCAATCAGTTCCAGAGTCGGGCCGGGCATCATAGCAATGGAAGATCTCTCCTCCTGCTCCAGGGCCAGTATCGCACTGCCCCTAAGTCCTGCCGTTCTAGATAAGAAGTGGGCGACCATCGTTTCTAAGCCATCTGTTGTCCTCGAGCAGCCCACCGCTCGGATCTGTCCTTGCCCATATGCATTTAGACTGCCTCAGCATGTCGCCCGACAGAACCTCAATAGTAGCTTTGACCACGGCCCACAGCTGTCGTAAGCCATTTATGAGTTGTGCGTGCTCGAGCTCGCCTCATCTCCCAGCCCAGACAAAGTTCCCGCCCATACCGAGGCCAGCGCCCAGCCCCGTGCTCCTAGACTCGTTGACTGGCCGTTTCGCCACCGTACCCTGGGCCTTGACCCCCGCGACGATCCTGTCGAGGTTCGTCTCTATCACCACGCCACCGACGATCATCTCGGACAGGGCGGCGTGCAGGCTCTCAAAGTTGAAGATAAGGTCCAGCTCGCACACGTTCTCGAACAGCTTGTCCAGCGCCTCGACGTACACCTGGATCAGGTCGATGAGGGCGAGCGGCGACTCGGTGGACGTGGAGATGACGATGAAGAAGAGCGTCGCGTAGTGCCGGTACGTCACGAGCGAAGGGACGTCGTTGTGCTGCTGGTCGCCGGACGAGTGGGAGGTTCCGGAAGCGGCGAGGAGGGGAGGGAGCGGGAGGAAGTTGCAGGAGCCGGCTGGCCGGTTGGAGACGAGGGTGAAGATTTCGGATATGAGGCGCTGCTGTATACTCGTGTCCTGTAGAGGCGTCAGTGGTGCTTGCGACGAGGATTATACTTGAGGCTGGGCGGGATCGGCTGGGCTTACGAGCTGCGTGTAGAACTTGGTCAGCCGTGGCTGGCCCTGGCCATTAAAGACCAGAAAGGCGTTGATCATACTGGAGGTATCTGCGAGCTAAAGGCACATACAGGAAGTAGAATAGCATTCAAAAGGGGTTGAGTGCTTCGGGACGGTATGCTGTGAGACAGAAGCCGTCACATTGGCCGATATGCTCCCGCGATTACGTGACGTGACGGACGGAAGGCTAAACGGTCACACCTTAACGGCAAGACGCACGGACTATGGACATGACCCCTGAAAAGCTGGGGAAAGCTGCTGTGAGAAGGTGGGGTGGGGCGCCTGCCATCGACCAGCCCAGAGAAGCTCAATCCAGTTCGCCGTCACCAACTTGTCACAAGCTCCCCTCCTCCGGCCCCCAAACGTCTTGTCGACGTGCATTGCCTCTTGTTCACTTACGCCTTTCAGCAGAATCACCAGTATCGTGTGCCATTCTTTCCAACCCAATTGTTTCACTCACTCCGCCCAAAATGACCAGACAATCCCTCTCAAGAGCCGCCGGCATCGTCGGTCGCAACGTACGCACCTCCACCACCCGCGCAGTTCTGTTTGCGCCTCGGCGTGCTGTTGCCGCCCCCACCATTCGAGCTCTCTCCGTCCCATTCACGACAACGTCAAGGTTCCTCTCAACGACGCCCTCCCGGACCAGAGGCATCCTTCCCGACTCCGACGACCCTCCCCCTCCCAATGTCCAAGACGATGATGTCAAGGCCATTCCCGCCAATCTCACCGACGCAGAGTACCATGAGGTGTCCGACACGTACCTCGAGGTCATCTTGTCGGAGCTGGAGACCCTCGCCGACAAGAACGAGTCCATCGAGGTTGAATACTCTGTTCGTGCCCCCCCCCCCTGCCATAACACTCTTATACCCTTGTCACACATTTCAAACCTTTTGCAACATTGGCCAACTCTTCTAACCCAACCCTCACCAGGCCGGCGTCCTCACCTTCATCTTCCCGGACATCGGCACCTACGTGATCAACAAGCAGCCCCCCAACAAGCAGATCTGGCTGTCGAGCCCCATATCCGGCCCCAAGCGCTACGACTACGTCGTCTCGGGCGAGGGCCAGAGCCAGAAGGAGGACACCGCCGTCGGCGACTGGGTCTACATACGCGACGGCTCCACCCTCGGCGAGCTCTTCCTCAAGGAGCTCAACATCGACCTCTCCCTGTCCCTCGGCCGGTAGGACCAGCACCAGCGAACGTACAGCGACGGCACCGTTGTAAGGACCCTGAGGTGAGCCACTTCCCGGCGGATCTCTGCGCCGGGGCGATCGTGGTTTTCTTGAGAAGGCGCGACCCGGCACACAGATCGCGGGAGATGGAGGTGTGTTGGGGGAGGAACTCATGCTAAAGCGACAGAGACACATGCCTTGTTTGTTTTTTCCCCAGGAGGACCTGGTCATTTCTTGCTTGCTTTGCATCTGAATCATACTTTGCCGCCCTATCGTCTTCGATGGGGCCGGCCGACGCAACAGCGATAACAAGGGCACTGTGTTTGTATTTACTTCTTTGACGTTATCGCGTGGCAGTTATCGAGACAAACCCGCTGCGGTGACAGCAGCTGGAAGTGCGGGTTGCGTCTCAAGCGTTAGGCAGAGCCGGGGTGGCTACCGCTGCAGTGACTTACCTGTACTTTCCCAAAGCGACAGAGAGGGTCAGAAAGCACGCACAGGAGAGACAGAGAAAATCTTCACTCCAAGCACGACACCCATTACTGTTGCACGATGCGACAAACCGGAGATTGTGTTACTAGTACCACCCCGGCTCTTGCTGTTGCGGCACCAAACTTGCATTGGCAGTGAAGCATTGCGAACTTTGCCGGTGAACAAGTATCTCTAGGCCCCGTTGTATCATAGTACACATTAATTGTATATGGTCGCCCGTCAAGCGAATCCTACTGAACATCATCCTCCACCACATGCGATAAATGTAAGATAAAGAACGCTCCTTCCCCGCCGCCCCAGACCACCAGTCCTCGAGATGTTGGGCGGGCCTAAAGCGTGAATGAACCCAGGCCAGGCCAGGCAGGCTACCTTCTCCCTGGATGCGGCATGCACAAAAAAAGAAAATGTTCGATGTACAAGAAATGTGTCAAGCCTTCTTCACTGTTGAGGCTTGTGCTACATCCGCTGTGGGCCCGAGTATTCAACTCTCACTGCCCTATTCCTAGGAATTCCCCTTTGTCACCACGAATTTGAGCCTCTCAGGCCACCGGTAAGATCCAGAGTGTAGGTGTTCTCTCAGAATACTGAAAAGCACGGTCTAGTCTGAATGGTCTCGCAATTCGTCATGATCATGACTGGGAGGCTAAGTAATTAGCGGCCTATAAGAACCACACGTTAGTCGACTCCCTATATGCAAAGGTCCAGATAGATATAGACCACGAGAACCAAAAGCTCACAACAATGTAACATTCAAACGCTGTCTCAACTTACCCTCTCCAGATTATAGTCGTACTTCTCCAGCGCATTCAGCGCGTCGCCCCGGCTGTAGCCCATGCTCGTCAGGTTCTTGAGAATAGGGTCGTCGTGCTCCCCGTCCTCCGTTAGAGCCCTGCCCGGGCCGGTGGGCCTGGGCCCGGGCCCAGTGAGGAGTCCATGCTGCCAGCTTCCTTGCTGGGCTCTGCTGCCGCCGCGGCGACAGCAGGCGGAGCCGCTCCACTGCCTGCGCTTCCCGGAGGTGGTGGGGTTCCCGACTGTGTTGGTGGTGCGTCATCGAGCGAGGCGAAGATGGCGTCCCAGTCGTGGTTATCCGGCTGTGTGGGGCCCTTGGGGGCGCCCTCGGCCGGAGCCGCGGCAGAGGTTTGGGAGGCGGTGTTGTCAATGCTCGCAAAGTCAAAGGTGCTCTCGTTGCTGAACGGGGCTGCAGGGCCGTGGCTGCTGCCCGGTGGAGCTGCGGCCGCCTCACTCTTGGCCGCTGGAGGCGGACTGTCAAAAGTGGCGTTGAAGTCGTCGAGACCAGATCTGCTGATGGTCTGGAAGTCATCGTCGGCTGTTGACCCCTCCTTCGCATCCTCAAGGTCGGCGAAGTCGTCGTCGAGATCATCAAAGGTAGAGCTTTGCTTCGACATTCCTGTCGTCGTACCATCGCTGCCGGCAGCAGCCGGAGCCTCGGTGCTTGGCGTCGGCTCGGGCTCGAAGCTGCCAGGCGGTGGGGCACTACCGAAAACATCGTCCGCTTTGCTCTGGGCAGTCTCGTCAGGTCCGGCAGCTGGCGCATCCGGGGCGACTGCCTTGGCCAGGGTTGGCGATGCCGCCTTGTCCGCTGGGTTGGCAGAAGGACTTGCTGGGGCAAAGTCGTCATCAAAGCCACCCTGATCATCTTCAGAATCGGAGGAGTCGTCTTTTTCAAGCTCAGAGATGGGAGGGAATTCCGAGTCAAAAGCCGACCGAGCCTTCGGCTGCTCTGTCGTAGACGCATCCTCTGGTGCAGACTTCGGCGCGTTTGAGTTCTTGAAGCTGGCGAAAGCGCTCTCGAAGTCATCCTTGGCCTTGGCTTGGTCCATGGCCGAGAAGGGGTCACCACCAGAGCCGGCGGGAGTATCAGACTTTGTCCCATCGAAGAAGGAGCCGGGATCGGCCGGCTTGACTTCCGGGTCCTTGGTTTCGGCAGTCGAGCCCCCCGTGGCTGTTGCCTCAAGTGGTGCAGAAGTGACTGGGTCTGCAGCGGGAGTCGATACCTATCAATTGTTAGTCCGTGGGTTGGTCTAGGCCGGGGATCCAAACGGTAACAGAATGCTTGAGCTTACTTGTCGCGGCTCAGGCGGGGCAGGGGCTGGTGCGGACGCTTCATTCGCAAAGGTCGGGTTCCTGCTCACATTGGGGCTGTTTGATGTGGGCGTGGCGAACGACCCGGTGCTAGCGGCCGAGGCCCCTGTGGTCTGAGGCTTGAAAGCTGGGATAGCAGGGCCAAAGACGTCGTCGAAAGACTTGTCATTGTAGGTCTTGGGTGCGCCGGGGCTGGCGAAGGCGCCCATCATGTCCGTGCTACCTGTCCTCCGGAAGAAAGGGTTGCTACCACTGGCATTACTAAGGGCAGGACTGGCGACTTGGGGCGGAGGATTCGGCGGGGGACTTTGGCTAAGTTGTCTTGCCAGCTCGGAGTTCTCTTTGGTCAGATCTTCAGCCTCTGTCTTGAGCTTGTCGCGTTCACCCTCGTTAGTCGTCAGCTGCTTCCTGTTGATGGCCACCAGGCCTTTTTGCTGGCGAGCTTCAGATTTGAGCTTCTCGATCTGGGGCTTGATAGAAGCAACCTCTGCGTTAACAGCTCGTATCTTCTCTTTCAAGTTGGCGTTCTCCTGTTGATCAGCCTGCAGGGCCGTCGCAACAGTCTGGTACTGAGTCTGTAGATCATGAAGCGTGCCGTCAAGAGCAAGACTCTCTGCCTGGAGCTTCTTCGTCTCGTTGCGGGAGGCGTTGAGCTTGTCCTGTAGCTCGCGTACCTCCTTCGCCTGGTTCTCATACAGAGTGCGAAGCTGAGCAAGACGCTGCTCAAAGTTCTTCTTCTGCTGTGAGGTTTGCGTGAGCTCGTTCTGCGTGGCATTACGCTGCCCTGCCACATCCTGCATCGATTTCGAAAGCGTCCCTATTTGGTTGGATAGGTTCGCAAGCTCCATCGTCTCATTCATATCATTGCCTTTGGCCTGAGTTTGAGGTTCCGAGTCACCCAGGAGATCTTCTGCTATTGCAGGCTGTGGAGGCGCAGGCTGAGATCCTGATGCCGATCCTCCCGTGGCTTGAGGGTTCAAAGAACGGCCAAAAGAAGAAGAGGGCACAAAAGGCTTGAAATTTCCTGTGGTTGTCGGCGAGGCTCGGGCTGGCGATGCTGGAGCGAGGGGGCTGGCGCTACCTGCGAATGGGTCATTTGCTGCGGAACCGCCGGTTGGCGCAGGGCCCTGGGCTGCTGCTGCCGGACCAGGCGCAGACTCCAGCCCGAAGAGATCGTCAAGAGCAGAGACTGGCTTGGGTGGCTGAGGCGGTTGGACGGGGGCCTGTTGCTGAGGTGGTGGTGCATCGAAAGCATTCGTAGCAGTAGACGGGCGCGCTTGAGCTCTCATACTGGGCGGTATCAAGTTTTGTGGCAGGACTTGTGGCAGATCTCCCTGTTTCATGCGCTGTTGCCGGATCAAGTACATGGCCACGGCGAACTCGTCCCGGTTGAGACGGCCCTCGGACCTGATGTCTGCAAGATCCCAGATATTTGCAAGGGCAGCCTCTGGAAGATTGGACTGACTCAGGAACGGAACCGCTTCTTCGCCCGTAATGAAGCCTTTCTTGGTCTTGTCAAGGCTGTCGTAGATAACATCGAAGCGTTGCTTGTCAGCCTGTGTGATGAGCCACGCATCGCCAGTGGATTGAGGTGCTAGAGGAGATCTTCCATGGGCACCGGCTATTGGAGAGGCTGTCCGCATGGGAATCTGATGCCCAGCCTGTCCGCTAAGCTGGCGGGGTATAGCAGAAATGGGCGCGGTTGGGCCACTTGGGCTCTGTGGCCTTCCAGCAGCAGAGCCACGCCGTGTAGCAGCCTCGTACAGAGGGGCCGGGAGAATGTTGGGAAGGGCTCTGAGCGCACCAGACTTCATGCTGGTCAGCAGGTGCATGGCGATGACGAACTCGGTCTGCACGAGCGCGCCCCTCTGCTCTGTGTCGGCGAGCTGCCAGATGCGGCCCAGTGTCTCATTTGGCAGGTTCGACCTCTCGAATATCTGCCTCGCCTGCTCTCCACCCAGCAGGCTGCCAGGTTGGAGTTGTTGGCGCTCGAAGAGACCAGCATATTGCGCGACCTTATCTGGAGTCAGGGGAGGGATTCGGATGGGGGCGTTCCCGGTGCCCTGGGCCGAGATGGGTTGAGGAGAGCCGGTGGGAGCGGGAGCGAGCGGAGGAGGGGCGGGCGTGAAGCCATCGAATCGTGGGATGGGGCCGGGTTGTAGGGCGACTTGTAGCGACGGTTCACGGCCAGCCTGGGCGTGTCCGATCAGGCGCAGGGCAATGCCGAAGCCGGCCGGGGTGAGGAAGCCACGGTTCTCCTGGTCGGCGAGCTGCCAGATCTCACCGAGTATCCTCGAGTCCAGCCTGGTCTTCTCGAAGAACTTGACGGCGATCTCTCCAGTGACCACCCCGACACTCTCGGTGTCTGCTTGTCGGAAGAGCTGGCCGTAGACTCGCTTCTCGTCGGGGCCTAGGTTCAGGTTCGGGGCACCTATGGGAAGAAGGTTGTGTTAGCCTCAGTCTTTCCATCCAGCTAACCAACCACGCTGGCGTCCTCGTATCGCAGCTCCCTATAAACCGTGGGAGGCGCCCAGGAGTCGGTCGGGTCTCACCAGCATCGGCGCTGCTGCTTTCGGCCATCGTGGAATGCGGTGGGCTAGCAGTCGAGCTCCTCGTTGCAGTGTGCTCTGGCTGTGTGGTGGTCTTTCGTCCTGAAGATGGTCGGGCAACCGATGGCGCCGTATGGTCGCGGCTCGAAATACGGGGCTGTTGGCGGCGTAATGATTGTTTGCGCGTGTCCTCGCTCGGATGCAATGGACGGGGGAGGGGGCAGGCGTCGGTTCTCGGCCAGACAGACAGCTGGCAGAAGCGAGGAAATTGGAAACACACGGGAGAATGACTGACAAACAGACAGGAAGGGAGGTTGATGTCGACAACAGTCGGGCGCGCAGGGGAACGGGCACGAAGTGACGAAGTGGAGAGTTGGTTGATGAGGCTAGAGGCTGGGAGATGACCTGCTCTAATTGATGGGTTGCTTGGCCCCCCTGTCCAATCCATCCGACGTCCACGTCTGGCACATTGAAACGGCCGGCCCAAGCAAGTGCTGCACCCAAGTGCGTGGATCCCCAGCGGCCTGGCGAAACCTGTACGGTAGATCCCGAGCGCTACCCCAAAGTTTGGCTTGCATTGCTGCTGCTTTTTCCACCACCCTGACAGCGTAATTCTCTCTTTCTGGGGACAGCCCTATTCAGCAATTGCATCGGACGTCTTTTACTATGCTTTTGACCCGTTCTCACTATACTCAGTGTCGAATTCCGTTATTCGGCCCCTGAACGTCGCTCGCTTGAGAGATTGGGTCTTCATGTTGCTCCCCACCGCAACTCCTTCCTTCTCCTTACGCTCGCTTTCTCTTGGGCATAACGAGCCTACTGTGCTATTCAACCTGCTTGACAGACTCATCCCTCAGGGGTACCCGCCTGCGTGGTACGGTCCTTGACAACACGCGGACACTTCTTTTTCTTTGTGTATTTTTTGTTATTGTATTTCATTGCAGCCGTGATGGTTTACCCTCCTCTGATTTGCTGCATAAGGAGGCGCAACGGATGAATTTACACAAGTAGAGATTGCTCCCGTCAAGTTATCACCCTCCGCGTACACGGGATAGAGGTGAGGGTAGACTATTTCCTGCAAAAGAGTGGCGATGCCTCGTCCACAACAGGCTTCCCGTCCCAGTCGCATACATGTCTTCCAGAGCTAGTCTCTCTTCACGTTGGAGGTCCCCTCAATAGGCCTCTCAGGGAGTGCCAGCATGCTGTCCGGTCTCAGCATTCCAGTTCAAGCTCAGTTGTACTTCTCAAGGGCCGGCTTGAACGCCTCAAACTGAGTGAACCCCTTCACCTTGGGTGTGTTCATCGGCGCCATGCCATGGTCTCCCTTCTTCAGCGCTTCCAGGTACGCTGGCCTCTCAGCCACGTCCTTTAGATACCTCAGGATGTTCTGGTACGCTCCCAGATCCACCACGGGGGCGAAACCCCGCATCGTGGTCAGCGAGAAGACGGACATTATGTCGGCTGCACTCAGGTGCTCCCCGGCGAGGAACTTGTTGCCCGCGAGCCGGTCGTCCAGGAGCTTCAGCGCCGTCTGGTTCCTCTTGTTGAAGACCTGGACGATGGGGGTCTCGTCCGTCATGCCGGAGAGCAGGAAAGTCATGAGCCTCGAGACAGACGGCTGCAGCGATCCGTTGGCGAAGTGCAGCCACTGCAGGTACTCGCCGTAGTCCTTGTCGTCGGGCGTCCGGATGAGCCGCGGCACGCCGCTGCCGGGGGCGGTGTTGCCGCCGTGGACAGTGAGGATGTAGTCCACGATTGCGCCGGACTCGGACAGGCTCACTGGAGGCGAGACGGTGGTGTCCTTGAGGTAGGGAGCTGTGCCAAAGGGGTTGACATCCTTCAGGTATTGTGGCGCAAGGGCGGTCGTGGGGTCTCTCTCGTAGACGTGCAGTGTGTACGGCACTTTCAGCTCCTGGTCACGGTCAGCCGGTGCATCGTAACGGAAAGGTTCCGTGAATGGGACGCACCTCCAAGAGCCACACGACTCTCTCTGACTGAGAAAGGTGCAGATGGTGTAGTTCCAGAGACATTGTGGTAGCTTTTGAGCCTTTAGAGAGCACTTTCTTGTTAGACTTCCCTTGAATGCAATGATTTTTGAGGTGTTTGATACTGCAATGAGACTCTAGTGATGCGGGAGCTTGAAGTTTAATGTATCTACAGCTCGGCTGCACATGTCGGCAGTTTCTCCACTTCTTCCGGTGTTCACCCCGTCGGGCGGGCGTTGGAGTTGTACCGTTTGGCGCGCCGATGACTTCACTCTGCGGTTATCAGCAGTTTTAACGTGGTATTTCATCCACCATGGCCAATTCCAAATGCATCATTGTAGTAAGACTTATGCTCAGGCCCACTGGCTCGGCGATTCCACATGCCCCGACTGCCGTAGTCAGTGGGGACGCCGCTCCAGATCGGCACTTGGTGGGCGAATTTCAAAAAGAAAAGTGGAAACATTCTGTGGCGTCCCTGCGTTGGTTCCTTCCGAGCCTCCGTTCGATGGTATACGGCCGACACATCCGGCTCAGTTGAGGACACGCCAGCCAGCGCTTGCACCCGGTTCTGGAACCAACAGGCACGGCCCCCAAGGCCTGTCTGAACAAAGATCGACTTCTCGCTACTGGACGTGTTTGTCGCGTCTCGAGATTCGAAAACGACCCTACGCGCAGAGGCCTTCTTCACGGTCAAGAACCCGCCGTCTTCGCTTGTCCGTCGCGGTGGTTGCTGGGACTCCGCCGGCCAGTCTGCCCTGGATTGCAGGTGCACTTAGAGCCGCGACAAGGCTTCGTTTTGAGATCCCAGCGAAGAGCTTGCATGGATTTGAACACGATAGGAAGATGAAGGGGCCTGTGGGATACGTGATGACTCGGTCCTAGCCGATTGTCTATTATTATATGCTTATTGTCTGCATCTATATACGCTCGCTGTCTGCGTTCTATTTCCCATCCCCCTGCTTGACCGGCCCGTCCGCGGCATCCTCGCCGAAAGACTCCGCGCTCAGGTCCGCCGCCGTGCGCGTGATCTCGTGGCTCTTCTCCAGCTTGGACAGCACCATCCACGTCGGCGCGACGCTGAGCAGGAGCACGCCAAAATTGATGCCAATGCTGACAAAATGGTTAACTTTCGCCTCGCTCTGCATCGCCCACGCGACAGTCTGCCCGAGGGCCTCGAACCCGCGGAGGATGCCCGTGTGCCGCGACACCGACGACAGGTCGGTCGTGTACTGGCCCACGAGCCAGTACAGGAACTGCTGGAAGGCCTGGCCCGCGAACTGCCAGAAGAAGACGAGCGCGTACGAGGCGCCGAAGCCGCCCGTGAACCAGTCGTGGACGGGGGTCGGGTCCGCGTCGTAGTACTGCTTCTGCAGGATGATGGCCCAGATCCACGTGCCCGAGAGGACGACGACGATGGCGGAGAAGGCGATCTTGGCGCGGGTCTTGATGTGGATGCTCTGGCGGTCGAGCAGCGAGGCGATGATGAAGGAGCTGAAGATGCCGGCGAAGTTGGTGAAGAAGGACGAGAACGCGCGCGCTCGGACGGTGAAGTATGTCGTGAGCCACGTGCTGAGGAGGCCGTTGTAAAAGTAGCTGATGAAGAAGGCAGGCAGGAGAAGGAGGATTCGGCGAGATCTCAGCAGGTCCCATACGGCCTTGAACTCGGCTGCGAACGTCGGCTCCCGCTGGGTCACCACACGAGTGCCGTCTTTTCTCCAGACCTTCTCCGCGGGACTCAGGAGTATGGCGATGGGCAGACCCAAGCACATGATAACGATAAAAGCGATGTAGGTCGATGGACTGACAGAGCCAGAACTGGACTTATCCGCGTTCAAGCCCAGGTTGATGGCTCCTCCCACAATAGGACCAGCAGCCTTTGCCGTTTGCCATATAGCAAGGTAGAACGCTCTGTCCTTCGGGCTGGGATAACCGATGATGATGGCCGCCTCGGCCGCCCAGAAGAACCCGGCAGAGATACCACAGAGGGCACTGCCGAATAACATGAACCAGGTGACGGCCGAGGTACTGTTCACGTAAAGACCGGCGCCGTAGATTGGATATCCAATACTACCCAGGGCCAAGCCCCACTTCAGGCCGATCCGGTTGTTGATTGCTCCGGCGGCGATGCAGACCAGGAAGAAGAGGCCATAGACGAGCGCATTGGCGGCAGATACCGCGTATGGCTCTGCCGCTCCGCCAGCTCCCAGGTTGTTGAGAGCATCCCACATACCCGGAGCCGTAAAGGAGACGCCGCATGCCACGAGGATCTGGAATGGCACGGATCGGAAAGTTGAGGCTACTTTGCTTGGCGGCGGCGCGGCGGACCCATGTTCGCTGTCGTGGATGCTTCGCACGGCACCCATCTCGGCGGTAGTGACGGAGGCACGAATGGGCAGTGTTCCGTAGTTTGTTGCTGCTGTGCACCCTTTCAAGGCTCGTGAATCCGGGTGTACCATCGCCGCCTTGCTGCAGCCGCGTGCCTGCGAGCGAGTTGACTTTTATATAAGGCCCCGAAGAACTCCGCCGGGGTCGTCACTTATTACGCGATAACTAGACATTTCAAGGTGAGATTTTTCATCGGCCGTCTCAAGGCGCGATCACGCAATCGGTACCCACTCTCAGGTCTTCACAGGAACGCCTGTTTCGGACGCTCTAGTGCTGGAGCCGCAATTATTATGGCATAATAGATGCTACGCATTCGCCACAAGGCTATTTGAAAGCCCATAACTAATTACCAGACAAGCCCTAATCGCCCCGGCGTTTGAGTCCTTCCAAACGTAATAGCAGAGGCATTTAAGCCTACAGTACAACCATGTCTCTATCCGCCATGGTGCATTTAGAGCTCACCCAGTCGATACTTCGGAACACGTCCAAAGTCCCGTCTTCCTGAAATGAACCGAATTGTCGATATTCGAAAATCGTGTGGACGGACAAAAGCTCGCTAATTCATGGCACTCCAGGGTCTTCAAGTTGGGATTGCAAGGTTCGTGCCAGCAATTACGTGCCAGTGTGTTTGAGTTTGGGAGTGTCGGAAAGGCTCGGCCAAACCACAGCATGCGTAACAAACGTCCATCACGCCATCTCACAAGAAACCAGCTCCAGGGCGTGATTCTGTCGACATTATTTACCATGACGAGCATAGCAAGACAGTGGGGACTCCTCAACGGCGACATACTCTCGCGTTGGCAGGACGCCGACGACAGAACGGTCGTGTGATTCCAAACTTCATCCACGCAAAGTTCGCCCAAATTCACTCCATGGTCGATTGCAAACAGCACGGTAAATGACCAATCCACTCTGATGCGATTTGGCGGAGTAGACGTGTGTGAACCGAAAATATTGTCTGGCTAGGTGTGAGACTAGTTTCGGGATATCGCATGGGCTAGACTGGCGCATCTGGCATCAGCAAGTTTGTCCATATCCTGGGGGATATGAAAGTTGTACCTGATATATGAAAACAAACAGAAAAATTCGCCCAATGAACTGGTCGCCAGTGATTTGTCCAGATGGTCTTGCCTGATGTTGGGTCAATCTTCGACCCATGTGGCCTGGAAAAGAACCTCAAAACAGGTATAGGGAATATGTGCCTGCATCTGGTACTGAGATTTGAGATGTGATTTATATTCTTGTAGTACTTCTTGTTTTTGATGAGATTGAGTTCAGTCGTAGCGCCACAAAAACCACAACCATGGTGGCTACAGAGCCCAATGTGGCGGTGAGGGTACCTGCGTGTGGTGAGAAATAGGGACACCTTATTGTCTAAGAAACAATGCATGCATTTGGCTTCCCAGTTATGGCGGTGTGTAACCAGCATTGCAATGCAGCAGGGGTTCTTGACAAAGAACTCACGGTCAATTGCATCGCCAACGCATACTGACGCTCAAATCTGAAATACGATCATGACCCTGGGTACCTTCCCGCAGGTATACCCGTGCTGTTAGGCAAACGCATCCCACCGTACAAATTAAATGGGATGACAGAACGGGCGCCTCATCGATCTATCTCATGTGGTTGTTCAATAACTGTCTGACCATGCGTGAGCGAGAAATTTGCGCCTCCTATGCACTGGAGATCACCCAGAACGCTCCATATTTGCCTCGTATCACTTCTGGGCACTCTTTATCGTCAATCCAATACTTTCTGCGGTCGAGGTGCCTCTTCTGTCCTCGAATATGGACCGTTCGGTGGACACTGATGCTCTCGAGCAACGGTGGCTCCAACGGTTCAATGAATTTCAGGATTTTCGATCCCAGAGAATCGCACGCAAAGTTGCTGCAAAAAAATGAACTTGACGCAGCACAAACAGAAATCGACGCGGAGATTTCGAATCTTCGGAATGAACTTCTTCAAAACAGTGAAGCCATGAAGGAAGAAGCCGAGGCAAAGATACGACTACTCAAAGACAAAACCGACGCAGAAATCCAGCGGCTCATACAAGAGACTTTCAGTAAGAGTACAGCGATCCGCGAAGCGACTAAGAAAGACCTTGGACTTCTCCAGGTCACTTCTGAAAGAAAGACCCAGGAGCTGGAGGACAAACGTACTGCGAGAAAGCGCAAGCACGAAGATGACTACCAGGATATTGAGAGCGAATTTGCCACGCGCTTGAAATCTCTAGAAAAAAGCTGTATGCCTTCGGTATGCATAGCTTCGCAGATATCAAGGGGAGCATGTGAGGGACCAGTCGCTGACCAACTCAGGCATTACCGGGAACTCCGCCACCTTCCGCGCCTCTGGAAGTGCCAACCGATCCTCTGCCAGTCAAAAACCCGTCGACAAATCCATCATCATCGACTGATGCTGCGTCTCTTGAAAAACGCCCAGCAGAACGTTCAGCAGATCGACGAACCACCATGTTCTGCCTTCCACCTTTGCGCTCGAGGGAGAGTATGCCCCCTTCGCAAGTCTCCCGCGGCTCAGACACATCGGCACCACCTGGCAAAAAACGACGCTTTGAGGGGTTTGCAAAAGATGGATGCGTTACATGCAAAGGTCGAATTTGGAGGTGTGATGGAGCGAAACCAATATGCGGCAAATGCAAGGAAGATGGACAGCTCTGCATTTGGCCTCGATCGAAATCTCCTCAACAGCCAGTTCATCAGCCCCCATGCGACAACACCGGCACAATTGATCTTCGCGGCAGAATCGAGGTTCCTCGCTCGACAAGTTTGAGGCCATCAAATACCGAATCCACCGGCCGAACCCGTCCTGACCTGTCGCCTGCATTTGCTTATGATGCCAGAAGGCGGCCATCGCAAAGACTGGTAAGGCTGATCCATTCGACAGATCTGGTGCGTATGTGCGCAGAAAGCTGCCAGCCAGCCTTCCGGCATTCCGTTGCTGATAGTGACCAGTCTAAAGCGCCTGGACGGAATACAGTGATAGCCTCAAGCTTGAGCCGTCCCGAATCCCCCGACTCTACTCAAGGACCGGGTGACATCGCCGTGGACCGGAGTTCGTCCAACATGTTCCCTCAAGCACTTTCACAAAGGGTTTTGTCACTGCCATCAAGACCGCAGACCGAGCGAAACGTTCAACGGTCCAGCAGCCTCACAGCCCCAAGCACAATCACATTCGACGAGGTCTTCAAAAGCGTTCGGAGCAAAGATTCACAGAACAAGCATTTCATCGTTGAATTCCCACAACACAGCAGCAAGTGGTATATCCTGTGGTGTAATAAGCATGACATGAACTTCGGGGAGTACCCATTTAGTTCTGCAGGGTGTCACATCGACTCCGAGGCTCACGGCCATCTCCCGCGCACCCACGAGAACTGTATATCGGAGCTGGGAGTGCTCGTTCTTGGTTGTACTTCCAAGCGCGCAGAGAGTAACAACGAGGCTTACAAGGAGGCCCTCCAGGGCGGGTACAAACCGAAGCAAGGGAACACGAAATCGCACAAGAAGGGCAGACCCAGGACCAGCCACACCCACAACCATGGTTCAATCGAGACGAAAAGACGTCACAATGGCTCTCGACCGGCCGGGTTGTTCAAGCCCTTCGAGGGCATCGTCAATCCCGTTCCGGGTGACGTGTACCAGGGAGCTCAGCACAAGCCGGGACGCATGGAGCCTCAATGGTGGCTAGTAGTTCGTCTTCCTCTGAGAAATTGGTAATTATGCCTCTCTTCATATGTCCGACCCAGAATCTAAAGTCTGATGCCAATTCCTGTGGGAACATATGTCCTCTTAACAATATGATTTCTCAACCAGTATCTCTTCCTTGCTTATACTTTCAACGTGCTCACACGATTTCAATGTAGGTAAACTATCGGTCTCTCTGGGAGCCTGCATCAGAGTGGCCTCGCCAAGAGCATGCCACCTTGCTATCGACGAGGATTCCTCGACGGTCCCCAGCCACGTGCCTCTGACTGGGCCGAGGAATTCCAAAACGGTGGTTCACGAGTGAAGGAGCGAAGCTTTCCTTGTCTGATGCTCAGACCCACCCTGGAGATACCTCCATGGGACGAGGAATTTATGCTGCCGCCTGACAGATGGTATTTCACCTGGCTGGATGCGGGGAGCTTGCGCCATGGACGGTATAAGAATCGGCCCACAACGCATTATCGATCGATAAAAGGCATTGATGATGGTCATGAAGTTGCGCGCAAGTTCTGTCAGCGGCTTGAAGCAGCCCGTGCGGCTCATCGTGGGAGTCAAAGATCGACGGTGATGTCCAATCTGGACAGCGAACAGGGCAGCCATGATGAAAATGATCCAGATGGTCGGGGCCGGAATCAATTTGACAGCGACTTTCAGGGAGCGGTACGTAGTTGAATGTACTTGAACATGACATTAGGTTACGCTGACCAGAATGATGCAATTACTAGTCTGAGATAGATGATCACTCAACTGCTGTGGCAAATGAACTTTTGCCTGGGGACACTTCAAGAGAGGACAGAAAGAATATCCCCGACAATCGCAGCCAGCAAACAAATGGAAGTGCTGTCGAAGACATTCAGGAAGACGAAATTCATGAATCAATAGAAGAGGTTATTGTGATTTCCTCATCAGATTACGATGAGCCTGAAATATCCTCCACCCCAGCACCGAGCACGGCCGTCAGCGACCCATTCGACCCGTCCTACAGCCCCAGGTCGCCTTCCTCGGACGATCGAAACATGTCAGTCGATCCACCCGTTCTGGACGAGGACTTCGACATCGGCGACTACAATGGCCCTCCGAGATCACCCAGCACTAGCAGCGAAGGTGTCAACGGCTCTGAGAATGGCGAGGGAGCACACACTGCAGTGGATGATAGTTCCAGCGCTTGCCCTGGTGGGTCGCCATCGGCGGTCGAAGCACTGAGAGCAATACAGACGGAGCTGATCCCCGGATATGAGGACGGCGACGCAAAGAGCGAGCAGTCCACCAGAGATACCGAGCGATCAGACATGAGATAGTTGTTCCCAGGTCTATTTACACGTCAAACACGTGAAGAGTAAGCTGATTCATGCATTTGATTGTGGAAATAAGATATTTGCAAGTCTTAGATACGTGGCCCAGTGTTGGTACTGCTGTAAGACAGATATGAAGGATGGTATGAAGGATGGCAATAATGTAGCGAGCGAGACTCGTTGAAAACTGCTCCTTCTCCGATTTATTTCAGTCTCAAATACTGATATCTCAGCTCATTGACTGTCTGTCACCTACATGAACACGAATCATTCTATATGTGCAGGTGCAATACTACCACTTATTTGCTTTCCTGGTCATAAGAGTCTAGACGTCAGACTTCCTTTTCTAGCGATCGAGTCCGATAGCAGACAACTTTGAGAGGCGACCAACCAGTGACAGCTGGAGTCGTTTTGCCAAGAAAACATTGAATATACACACAAGTAATCGTAAACATAGAATCTGTTACATAGTACGCGACAAGAACAATAGAAAGTCATTATCACGGCATCTGAGAGAGGAATCCACTCATGACAGCGCTGTATACACATACAAACACGACCTGGCGCGCCTCATCTGCCTCGATGACCCGAGAAAACACACTGATCAAAAAGCACATAACCAGTACCATAGCCATTCTGAAGTTACGATTGGTATCGAAGTAGGAAAGAAGAGCCAACGGAAGCACCAGGAAGATACATATTCCGACGAGGAGTAAAACACCGACAACCCAAGATAGGTCTGCATTTTCATAGCGCAGAAATTGGAGGTGGTCGAATTGGACGCTTTGTGATCGGAATGGGCGCTGTGTATGTTATGAGGAAGTTCAATCAGAATGAAAGGTGGGTGTTATGAAAGAAATACTAACGAGGAAGATACGACCCAGTCTTGAGAGTGGCATCAAGGCTTTGACGAGTTTCTCAATAGGGCCTTTGGGCGATGCTAACATCCGGAACTCGTGCCATTCTTTGTTCCTGTACATTGAAGCCTGGCCAGTCGACCGCTGATCAAGCCACAGGCGCAATTCATCAAGAGTTGATCCCTCTGGAGTCTCAGCAGTGTCAACTATCCTAGCGTGTTCCCAGGCAGCATCTGTCGCTTTGGTATTAATTACGACCTCTGAAATCGAGTTTAAAATAGAACATAATGCTCACCGTATTGCGCTAGGCTTTCTGTAAGTTGCGACATCATTTCCTCTAGTCTCTCTGCTACCACGTCTGGTGGGACCAGATTCGACGACTCGCTAGCATTCCCAAGCCTCAACTCCCTGAGGGTTTTTATTTCCATGCTCAGCCTTGAAATCCTCTGCGCCCGAAATTCAAGCGCAAGGGATCTTTCGACTGAGAAACTTGGATAGAAGGCAAAGCGACGGTCATAATCCTTTACTCGCGCAAGGCCCTCAGGACCGGAGGCCTGCTCTGAGTAAGAGGAGGTCAGCTTCTCACACCGTTCTGTAAGAGAGATCACTCACCGAGCCCTTCATCCTGCCCCTGAACGACGGAGCCTTGCGGCTGAACCGTCGGTTCAGAGGTGTGATGGGCTTCTCTTCCATCAACTTGTCTTGGGGTTTCTACTCCAAGGCCCCCATGCAAATCGCCCCTTTCGGCCATATCAAGCACTGAAAGCCCAGTGGGCATCATTATACATGTTTAACACCGACAAAAATGCGTAAGATGAAGGAGAGCAGGCCGAAGCGACATCTCCACCGTGCGTCCTGGCTGTCTCTCTTATACAGGCTGTCAAAATGCCCACGTGTATGCCTTGTGAGGCAGGCTCTGGTGATATAGCAGCTTTGGGCGGACTGACTGCTGACTGCATGTCGTTCTTCACGAATAGTCCAGAAATGGACTAGTACTTAAGTAGTGCTCAAGCTTGAGGCTGACGAGGTAAATGTACTGGGGCGTTGTTGTGACACCACACGAGTATAGATTTGGCATATGCGGGGAGTAGAATCTTTGCACCCTGCTCCACGACGAGATGCAGCACCCTATCTAGAATACCTAAGTACTGCGGCTCCTCCATCTCAGAAACAGCTAGTTTGCATCTTCACAGAGGCTCCAAAAATGAGTTTACTCTAAGGTTGACAATTGAATCAAAGAAGGGCCGGCTGGGGCGAAGGGACTAGTGGAAGTGATAAACCGGTAGGCTCGAGTTCCCAGAGGACCAACATGTAGACTTTGAATCAAGGTGAGGGAAACGCTTTGCTTGGAATGGCTTCAGGTTAGGCACGAGCTTTGAGAGAAAAACTATGACCTGTCGAATTAGAGTGAGGGCCTGCCGAAATGCGGGCTGTGTGTTTTTTTTTTTTTTTTTTTTTTTTTTTCAACGTTTCCGATGGTGTACAATAGCAGCAGATTCTAACTAATGCCACTACGGGCGTTCTCCAAGCAAATGGGCTCCGCAGACGCCCCTGAGCTAGTGACGCACATAGACCATACCCGGAATACATGTCACTATTGTTCCCGTACGACAAGCCAGGGAAATAAATCGGCATGTATGCCTGAAATGGAGAAGGCTACTGAGACTGCAGGGCGGCGAACCTGTGGGTTTTCCTCGGCCTCGGCATCCCGCCTGTCAGGTGCTGGGTCTCGCGGGCTGGCGGCTCTCCTCGAGGCACAGAGCCCCAGTTTTCCGGGACTCCGCAGCTCAATCCGGAAGCTCGCAGACGTTGGGCACGTTGGCAAAGCCTGGGAACCTATGAATCTGCTATCCACATAGGCGAGGGGGCACAGCATCGGAACAGCCACCTGAAATGTCGTACAAGCCATGTGCAAGAAACAAACGATCTGAACTGTGCATCCCGCAGTGCCGTCCAATTAACGCTGCAGCTCAATGAAGATCGAACAAGGAGATATGCAGCACAGACTTCGATGCTCAGCAAAGTGTAGATGGCTTCCACTTCTCACTGCTTCCGTAGAACCCCCCAAATTAACGTATTATCGCCTAGTTGATCTCGTTCTCAAGCATCTGCCACAGAAACTGCTCACAAATTTGCAATGTTCAGAACGTCTACTGGAGGCCGTTATTATGTTGGTACTTCTCCCAAATGGGGCCTAAGGTCTGATCCCACTGAGCACCAAAGTAGGCACACCTTTTACAAGGAGACATGGCTTCAAATGCGTAATGGTCATCAGCCAGGCACACATTGATATCGTAATCGAGAGGCAACTTTGCTCTCTCGCTAGTTCCGGGGTTACACGCCAACGCACAGTCGGCGTGCGTCTGTAGGGCCGCCCGTTGATACCTTTGGCGTCATGTCCGAAAAGGTGTTCTTGAAACTTCAACTGGGCCTTTTCAAGATCACTCACTAATACCGGCGTGATATCATCCCTGCTCGTGTCCAGTGGTGCAGATGATTTGGGTCATTTCGAGAAACGTAGTCCATACGAAGATTCGGCTTTTCCAACCCCTGAGCCTTGTTCTGGGCCGGCTCCAGTGCCCTGGCTGGTTGATGGCCGTCCAGCGGTGTAGTGAAGGGCTGTTGTGGGCTTGTGCGGTGGTCCCCAAGGTTCCCGTTCGCTTGCACGTCGTGCACAACCGTCTTTGCCGCCTACACCGTTCTTTTTACCACTATATATGTAGCTTTATATCCTGCCATTTGCAGCACGCTTCTTCGTCTCTGACACTCACTCATCCCTTGCTTCTTATATTCTCGACTACTCCGGTAAGACAACGTCGCTGTCTTTGATATCTATCACACGCACCTGAAAAGAATCTACGCCTGTCTGAGACGCTTTTCTTTTTATATCTACGCTAACAAGATACAGCAAAATCACAAGAAACATTATTCGTCACGCAATGCGGTCTTCCAATCCTGGCAACATGAATTTCAAGGGGAACGGACACGGGGTTCTCGTTATACAGAAACCGAAGCCCAACCCCCCACCCAGTAATCTCAGACCCCAGAAACACGCATCGACTTCGAGACACAATTTACGTCGATCCTCGATGGATATCTGAATAATCACCCACCAATTGTACCCCTGCCCAGGGATCACAACTCTTACACGCAGCACCTACCTTCAAGGCGCAGAGGAGGCGGCACATGTTATCACAGCCTGTTGCTTCCAGTGTTCCCGAAACAGATTCCTGAAATAGGCTTGAATCTCTCGACTAAAGCCTGCCTGGAGGAAGTCTCGTATGGATAGCGGAATCGGATGACACTCATGTGGAAGTACTAGAGAAATCGAAATGTACCAATGTTGTAGAAAACGGAGGGCGATTGTTTTGGCGACTCCGTGGCTTCGAGATTCGGGACACTTGGGCTAGAATTCTGCGTGCGTATACTGGCAAAAGAAAAAAAATACAAATTGGAATTGCTGTCCTTTTGAACACTGAGATGGCATGCAATATGACTTGCGTTCTAGTGTCTCACGTGTTGAAACCAAGGAGTCGGCTCCTTGATCTCAAGCTGCATCGGAAGTGAGTTTCTGGATGTTGAGGTTGGCGGTAGCCAATGTGGCAGGACGAGGACACACTTAGGCGACGGCGGCCGAGACCGTGAACGCAGAAGAGCGAGCAAAAACAGGCGGCTGAGAGGGTCGAACGGTGTGCAGGGATAGACCTGGCCCGTCCCTGTCAGACATTGTCCGATGGGGGACCTGGCCGTTCCCTGTGCGACATTGGCCGATGGGGGCCGTGAGGTATGGGTGAGGCGCAGAGGAGTAATAAGTAAGAACATGCGGGTCAAATGGCTGCTTGCAGATAGACCTGGTCGGGCTTTTTGGGTGAGCATGGAGAGTGAACACAAGTACAATGGGAAATCTGCCACCGATGGCGCGCGCTTGGTTGCACTATGCGTTGCGTACAGACAGCGTGAGCGTGGCACGGCGCGGAAGCAAGCGACGGAAGGTATTGGGTGGAGGGACGGCAACGGGTGTTGAATTGACCGATTCACGGTAGTCCAAGGGGACCGGTACATTCTTGTTCGAAGATAGTATTACTCTGGCCGGGTGGGGCCGTGAGGCTCGGAGGAGTGAGCAGAGCAGGTGGATGAGAGGGTCGAATGATTGCTCAGGGATAAGCTTGGCCGGGCCTTGTACGACGCTGGCTCGTTTGAAGGATGGGTTCAAATAGATTCTGTGCTTGCGTGCCTCGTGGAAACCTGGCAATGGAGGGGGTGTGACGATGGGAGCTAAGTACTCCTAAGTCAGGGTGCCCACTCAAGCACAACCACATTCACGCACAGGAGACGACGCGTTGTAGACTCTTCGCTCAGTTTACTGTTGCAAGGGAATATGAGTTCCAGCAATCATTCGAAGGCAAACACAGCGTAACAAAATAGCCAACAAGAGGCCTCAGATTAAGCGTTGTCCCTTGAACAACCGTTATTCCCATCCACACGTTATTTTCTGCTCAACACCGAAAGGGGTTCCAGGGCATCAAATAGACTACTCACATGTTTCCTACCTTGAAGACAGGGCTACGCACTAGTTGCTGTCACGCCCTAAAACACTCGCAGAGGAGGACAATGGGAAACTTCATGCACAATCTGGAAGTATGCGCGAAGACCAGCTTTCCTGTTTTCCCATGCTGACTTTTAAAATTATTTGGGATAACCTTTTGTATAGAGATCATCCAAATGCAATCTATGGGGGCAGTAAAAGTATACAAGTAGGAATGCCGAGGGTTATATTAGAAGAAATGAGTGTTTACAGGTAAATGACCGTTTGCATTTTAATCTGTGCTGTCACTGGTGAACCAGGGCTCAATCATGTATTATTGTGTGAGAATCAATCCCCCGAGGCTGTTACAAGTGCCCAAATCCAGGATTTTACTGATAGCTATGCAGTTATCGCTTCAACTCGAAGTCCATTGGTCCGGCTGTGGGGTGAATAAAGGAGAACAAGCTCAAACTCGTGACAGCCAAGAAGACAAAATCCACGTGTGCACAAAGGCCTCAAAGCAGTACTACTGTATGGACGAATGAAATTCGGTGACAGCCAAAACAGCTATCAGCTTTCAGGCAGAGGTCTCGATTAAAGCTTATTCGCATTCCACCTTATTCTCTTATCAGTTTCAAACACAGCCGAATTGCCCGCGGGTTCAGAAAGCTTGAAATAGTTGAAGGGTATCGCGTATGTACGAGACGTAATGCCGGGTCTTGAAACTAGACTACCAAAGGACCATGTGCACTTGATGATCCTTTAGAAGCTCTCGTTTGCGAGCTGCAAGTTAACGATTTGGACATCTATAGTGATGGGCAATGGCTCTTTGAGGCGCTTCCCTGAGCTACCTTCTCGTACGAGAAAGTCACAGAAGCGTTGGTGGCTGAAATCGACTATGGTGCGTGTTTTGGGCCAGGTCTCCCACTAAATAAAAAACGATAGTCCTTCCTGGGTCTCATCAAGCTATACTACTTCTCTTGTGGTATCATACTGACAATTGCGCGGTGGCCCTTGGACTTCAGACAGAGTGGGCTGGCTATGAGGTACCATGCCTTGAAACCAAATGCGGCCCCATTCCTCCACAGCAACCGGTCCCCGGGCAGAGGTCTCGCCCAGCGCTTACTCAATGTTGATCACATTAGTTTTAGGGACATCAACATGGCCCTCGCAAGCTTGGACGCTGGAACTGAATAAAACATGGCGGTATGCATGCATAATAATAATTGGTATCTTGAAACAATTGCAGGCGTCACACATACGCGACCCATAGTATCGGGTACTAAAGGCCCAGACTGCCAAAGGACCATACCATTTTCACGTCATAGTCCCCCAGACAGCCTGTGCAAACTCATCGCATCAAAAATGACAGAAAATCATGCCTCCTTCTGATCCGTAACAACATCCTTCTCCTCATCACCCCCGAGGCTTCCATCCTCAGCCACACCCTCGTGGTGCCCGTGCAGGCCGATCTCCGTCTCGGTGAACGCATCCGCCGTGTCGCGGTACTTGGGCACGAAGTTGACAGCCAGCGCGTACGACCACGCGGCGATGAAGAAGGCCATGGGCACGACCATGGCGGTCGGGGTGTTGTGCAGGTCCGCCACGGCGCCCGTCAGCGGCGGGACGACGGCGCCGCCAAAGACACCCGCCACGATGAACCCGGAGCCGCGCTTGGTGTGGCGGCCCAGCCCGCGCATGCCGAGGGCCATGATGGTCGGGAAGCAGATGGACTCGAAGAAGAGGGTGACGTAGAGCATCGACATGCCCGTGTTCTGGCCCTGGGTGATGGAGGGCCCGACGAAGACGATACACATGGTCAGGAAGATGCCGAAGACGATGCGGGGCTTGATGAAGTTCATAAGTCCAACGCCCACGAAACGGCCGACGGCGAAGGCGCCCTGGGCGCCGGCTAGGAACTGCGAGCCGAGGGCGGAGTCGGTGTTGGTGCGGGACTCGGTCACGTAGTTGATGAAGTAACTGAAGTTTTCTGTCAGCGGCATTTCTTATACGAAAAGGGTCTTCGTATGCTGTCGGCTTTTTCTATGAGTCTCTGGCGTACCTCGCGATGGCGATCTGGGCTCCAGTGTAGCAGAACTGGGCGAAAGAAGCATGAAAAAGACGGTACTGCTTTATGAATGGCATGTCGCTGTCTTCGGAGGCGCGAGACTCCTCTGCCTGGAAGGCCATGTCTGCATCCGTGATCTCGGGGATATCCGAGACGAAGAAGATGAAGGCGAGGATGAACACGAAAACCGCGATAGAGAGGTAGACCCATTGCACGTTCTGCAGCGCCTTTACGTCGTCGAAGTTGAAGAAGACGTAGGAGCCCAGGACGGGGGCCACGACCGTGCCGATGCCATTGAAGGCCTGGGAGATGTTGATTCGGATTTCGGAATACTTGGGCGGGCCACAGACTGCAGCAAGCCCAGGTCAGCGCACTTGGCCCATACTGATCGTGACTGATGGTGGGATGCCAAGGACAGTGTAGAACCTACCGGTGATGTAAGGGTTGGCAGCCGTCTCGAGCGAACCCAGGCCGTTGCCGATGATGAAGATGCAGATGCAGAAGCCGGCGAAGGAGCGGTTCAAGATGGCAGGGATGGCCAGCAGGGCGCCAAGTCCGTAGAGGAAGAGGCCCCAGATGAAGACGGCTCGATAGCTGTAGTGGCGCAGGATCCAGGCGGCGTGCCCAAGAGAAGCCAAGGGGTAGGCGCTGATGGGGGTCACGTACTGTCAGTGGGGACTGGTGACGGAAGCATACACTGGGCGCCAAGACTGTGGGGGAGGAGGAGAGTTGGGACGCACCCAAAGTAGGCGACCTGGAGGCCGGAGGATCGAGCCTTGCTGATGTCCAGGGTATTCTGGAAATGCTTGTTCAGGGTGTCGAGCAGACCGTAGGAGAAGCCCCAGAGGAAGAAGAGGATGGTGACGAGGCAGATCGGGAAGAGCGACTCCTTCAGCGTCAACTCGGCGGCCTTTGTCCTCTTCTTGTCCGAGGTGCGCAGGGAGCGGCCCTTCCAGAACGACTTGGAAAACATCTTGCCTCGAGTCCTGAGTTTGCCCTTCACTCAGCAGACACGGCCAGTCTTGCGTCGACGATGGGTGATTGACTGTCGCTCTGTCGCTCCGTCGTTCTGAGCGCGGTGGAACCAATGTTCGAGCGTTTGTAGAGGGAGGGAGTGTCGACGAGGGACGATCGCGCAGTCGATGATTAAAGGCGAGAGAGGAGCCAGCGACTGGACCGACTGGACCCGGGGGTCGACGTGGATTATCAGATATGGAGACGGGTGACGAGGATGATTTCTGCTTCGGCCCTTCTACCCCATGTTCTGGCAGTTGTGCGTGTTGTACCCCACATCCCCAGACCAATGGCTCCAGTCATTAACCGACGGGGCCTGGGGAAGGTCCAGGGTTGCCCCAGCTCTAGCGGGGCCGGGGGCCGCCTTCCACCTCGGGGGATGTTTCCAAGGCTTGACCGAGATGGGCTCGACAGGCCCCCAAGCGGCCTGGACCATGAACCTGTGGACCCGTCGGGAAATCCGCGAAGGTACCTCATGCGGGGAGACACATGCTTTGGCCCAGTTCCAGCTGCTCCATACCAAATCGAGACATCGCTGCCGAGAGCGAAATGCCGGACTGAGACCAACGGCTTGCCACGAGGCCTGAGGCCAAGGGGGCGCTGCCTCGACTCAATGATAGCCCGAGAGGTGAGCAAGCAACCCATGCAGCTGCCAGACCAGCGAAATGTCTCAGGAATACACTGTAATCTAGTCTAAACTTGCCTGTGAATTATGCACACCATATCTACTGTATCTACCCACGGGCGTTGCATGTGGTGTCTATCATCACCGTGACACTGGGACCTGTCACGTTTCAGCCCGTCCACTACCCACGTCTTGGCCATGCTGTGCCGCCGGTTAATCGACTGTTGGTCCCAGGCTGTCGGCTCCATGGACACGCCAACTTCCACGGACGGGCCAGCGCCCAAGGTTGTGACCCCCGGGTAGATCCCGGGTCTAGCCCCAGATAGATTAGCAGTCGCATTTCCCAGGTTCATACTACGGTACTAGTAAACTCTATCAAACCACAATCTCATTGAAATCAGCCAGGTATCGCTGGCTTGCTACAAGAACCTATTGTGCATAGACCGATCGGTTTGCCTTGGGTCGTCAAAACGCAATCAAGAGTCATCGAAGAGTGAAGAGACTGGCCCAAAAGACTTGTACCAAACTGTCACCCGGCACGCTGGTTTTAGGTCGTGAGGGGCATGGATGAATGAGCCTTGCTGAGGGACTGCCGGCCAAGATTTGACAAGTATATTCTGCTTTCCCATTTCAAGTCGTACCTAGTCAAGCATTCATGAGTTTTCAGTTGGCCTTTACAGCATGGTCGACGACGTCCAGCTATAAAGTGACCCTGGAGATCAAGGTCTGTTCTGTGAAATCAGGTTGTTCCACAGCTAGCTACACCGCAAGCTCCTGAGAGGCGACATCCCTAGATATCTAGAGACGCGGAACTCAAGCGCTCAGTACAATCCACTGTATCGACATCAATTGAACGCCAAAGACGAGGCGATACGAAGGCGAGATAGTGGCCCAGAAGTTGCGCTGCGGCTCCTCATACCACTTGTACATACTCCATAGACTGTACCGATGGTGAAGCCCAAAGACACGATGCCAGTCAGGCAAAAAAGCATATGCCTACGTTCTCACTCGATGTCGGCCCTATTCCTTCTAGAAAGCAGCGGTGATATGGGGGTGCACCGCTACTGTTGCCTTGACTACCGTAGCGTGGGTGGTTGTGGACAGACATTGTGGGAACTGGGGCAGAATGATGAAGTAGATGCTTCTCGAGTAGTCACACAGGTGGGAACATTCAGTCCAGAATAAATTATAAACTTTCTACAAAGCATGCGTCGTAGATCTTCCCATGGAATCAAAGACTTGAACCCCAGCTTGAGTACTGTCGGCTCATTCATCATGGTGTGCTTTTCACCACGATACAATCTGGATTCCCGCAATCTCCAGCACACGCTGTAGGATACGCTCTCATCCAGCCGTTGTTGAAACTGGAATCATTGTCCGCCGGTACAGGCCAACTCACACACAACGTTTCGAACAGCACGCCAGCGGCCAAAAACAACTGCCGGGCCTCGCACTCCTTTTCAGCGTCGTACATGGCTCGTTCGACACTTGCCTCATGCCGGTATTTCTCTGGAACCGTGCTCTTCAGGCCGTGGTATCGTGGCCGGTCCTTTTCCACGAGCTTCTCTTCTTTCCAGAACAGTTCCCACTCCGCAGTATCCGATATCCACAAACTGTTTCCACGCAGCCTCACGTGTTTGAGGCTGGGAAATCCCCCGCGGCTTGCACGCCGAGCCAACTCGACCACCGCGGTCTCGAACCAGCTGTTGAAGTCGTCAAGATGGAGGAACTCCAGCGACTTACAAGGAAGGAGGTTTACGAGAATATCCTTTCTCTTTTCAAGACAAGCGGCGAAGTGTGCAGCTGCCTCTTCGTCCGTCATGTCGCCCAAGGACTCCACACGCAGCCCGGGAAACATGCCGATGCTCTGATAGCACAGTTTGATACTCTTCAGTGTTGTGAAAGCTGATAAAGAAATAATCAAAAGTCCTCTGGCTGTATCGGTATAGTGGATAACCAGAAAAGTCCAGTTCCAATACCTCCAATTGCTGTTTGAGAGGCTCGAGGAGGGTTACAACTATACAAAGTCAGCACGGTCAAAGGCGAAGGGGGGTGGTGGGAGATAATTACCATCATGGCCGTCAACAGGGCGTTCTGTTTCATCAACGATGACGCTGTTCACGGCTTTGTTTATGCGTGACAGTTTGAACTCACGTAAATTCTTGAAGTTGCCCAACAGTTTCCCCAAAGAATGGAAACGAAACCATGTTTGCAACAAATTCAGGCTGGTGATCTTGTTCTTTGGCAGCCCCGCGTAGTTTGGGGATGTATTCTTAGCAGGGAATACTATGTCTAGGTTGGGTGAGCTGTACGTAAAGTCGGTGAATCGATAACAGCACAGACTTCGCAGCTTAGGCGCGGCAGGCATCAGATTCTCGAGCCAGACCCTCCCATGAGCAATGTCGACTATCTGGTGGCCCGAAACTGGTTTGAGCGTTATGTTTCCCAGTTTTGGCAAGCAGTCTACCGGTACCAATCTCTTGGTGACAGAATCTTCATAATGCGCTAGCGTGAGGAAAGGTCGGATTCCGAAGTTGAGTGTGCGGACATTGCTGAGCTGTGCGAGAATCCATCTTTGGTAGGTGTCCGAAGATACGGCTATCTCCTTGACCCGTCTGGCAAGATCTGGTCGACGCGTCACAGTCTCTCGGAAGGACAAGAATAAAAGTCCATTTGGTCTGTCGTAGCAATGAAACACGTAATTCTGCGCGAGGTCTCGCAACGCTCTGCATGTCATGGTCATTGATAGCAGATCACGTCTCGATCGCGGCCGCAGAGGCCCCGGTATCATAGACCACTCTGGACGATCCGAAAACTGGACACCCGGCTTGAGCACCGGGCTAGGGCGACAGTGAGGACATAGTTGGTCGAGGATGCACAGCCAGATCTCGGGCGGAAGCCCTCCAACCCAGCGATGCTCGCTTGTACCTCGATCGCCGCCGGCGCGTGTCATGTCGAAGTGACGGTCCTCGGTCTGGGGTTTCGGACTCGATGTGGTGTGTGCGAGAGACGCCATTGGTGAAATGGGCTCAGCCGTGCCAAGTGTAAATGTTCCTTAGCGAAATCGAAGTATGTCGATATTTGAGAGCAATTAAGGGTTGGGCAGTATGTAATTTGAAATATTCGAAGTGCGGCGGACTCAGTAAGACATCTGGGTGAACCTTTTCAAAGATTAGAAGGCAGCAGAGAAGTTCTCTTAATACTTCGAATATAAGTCAATTTCTGTCGATATCACCCAATTCTGATGCACTAGCGTTGGGCTTGAGCTTCAATGCGATGATGTGAGTGTCTAGTCGCGAGCAAATATTGCAAGAAATGGCAGCATTGGGTCAAGTTTAAGCCACACTAGTGCAATATGAATGCGAACCTCGATGACACGAGATGAGAAAAGCGAAACTAAATAATTCATCAGAAGTTTTAATTTTCAGTTCCACCTCACCAACTCGCCGACAACCTCTGACCTGTCTGATTTCATACCTCGCAACGACCAACACCTCATCGTTCTAATTGTCGGAGAAAAGAAAACCACCCCATACGTCCGTGAAATTCTAAAATGTCTAGACCTCATCCGTCAAAAGATCGGAACTCTCTTGATCTCATACTGAGAAACCAGGTCAATATCAGTAATTATCGATGCACTGCCAACGTTGACCACGGTCGAGATGGAATCCGGACTGGGCTCGCGGCGGCGCCTGCGGAGATACTCCATCTTATCTGCAAGCTGCTGTGTCTATGCTCGTACTGCGAGGACACTCCCAACCTACTCAGCCTGCCTCCAATAAGCCCCGTCCGGTTCAGAGACGACCTCGATTCCCTGAGCAAGACTTGCAAGTTCGTCCGCGACGTCGCACAGCCGTATTTATTCCATGTCTTCGGCAACAACGACAGGCAGTTTACGCGCCGCCTCTCCTTGAAATTTTCTGTTGAACTTCCTCACGTCGCAAGCCAGGTTCGGAGAATTATCTTGAACTCTGTCTGCGGAGAGTTATCCTTGCTAAACCGCCTGACCGGGCTCCAGACGCTTCGTGTCCTCGCGATGAAGGCAGGCGCCATCGGACTCGAGAGTCAGTTGTCCTTTCCGTGCCTTCGAGAACTCTCTTACGGGCCATACCTTAGAAAATTCTTTTACAGGCCATGGCTCGACACAGGAGACTCCAGGGTGCGTATGGAGGATGCAAGAAAAGACTTGCGGGCGATCTTGAGCGCTGCCGAGAACCTGTCCCATTTGAGATGCCACAGACTCTGGCATAAGTCTTCTTTCACGACTTTCCTCCTCTTGCGGCTGCCGGCATGCAAGATCATTACTTTGGAATTGCACGAATGTTGGCTCCCTCACAAGACATTCCAAAGATTCTTGGCCAATTTTGTTTGCTTGGAGAACTTCAGGTTCAAGCGCACCATGGTGTTACGCCACGAAACAGGATGGCACTTAGATTACCCAACAGACGGACCTGACCGTGTCGCCGATGCCACTGATGGTGAGTCTCTACCCGCAAAGATCCCGCAATGTGTACGGCACGCGATTGGGAACATTGACTAACATCTCCACGCTCACAGTGGTCGAAGGCCTACGCCAAAACAAGAAAATCCTGAAACGACTGAATCTGGATTTTGGGTCAAGACACAACACCGAAATTGAGTTCTTCCGACCCCTGCCACCGATTATGGATTTCACAGCTTTGACGACATTACACGTCACACAAGGAGAGCTAGGCTACGACTTCGCGTGGCGCAGGGAGTCCTTGAGCGATACGCTACCCAAGTCCATTGGGAAGCTGTTCATCGACGATTTCGATATGGGTTCCCGACATTTGGTCCTCGATCTCGCGAAGCGGGTGTCGGTCGGACAATACCCGAATCTTAAGCATGTGAGGCTGAAGGGCCTTCATAGGCATTCTATGAGTGGAATCTCCTTTCTTGCGTCTATGCAAGACGACCTGGAATACGGTGACGGCGGTGACGGCTTCGATAGTACAAATACGGATATACAGGTGGACTACATCCAGCCTGATGGAGAGGGGGAGGACGAAGAAAACAATGAGGCGGTGTCTGGGGACAGCGACACCGACTCAAGTTTTCATGATTTTTTGACCTCTGACGAGGAGTGGGGGGAAGTTATCCGCCTCTGTTTGAGCGACCACGTCTTGATGTCCTCGATCGCGCGTCAGGTTCGGGACGACTCACAAATGATGCTCTACTCAGCACTCGATTCTGTGCCGCTGAGGAAGAAAGTTAGAGCGTTGTTCTCGAGGGCAAATGTCAAGTTTGAATGTGTCGGGGTTGTCATTAAGGAGAGTGTGGATGGAGGAGTCTATGCTGTATGGATGTGAGCAATCAAGCAGAGTGGCAGTGTCGCGAGAGGGAGTCCAAGACACAGCAGCTGGCCTCAATTAACTTATTTCAGTTTAAGCGGGCGACACCTCTCTAAGCAAAAAGAAGGGCATTCAGAGGGCCCTGGGGCGCTGCAGAAGAAGGCACCCATAGGGCGTATGGTGGGCACTCACGCACCGACCCTCTCAGTGGGAGTTTGTTTTTCAAAAGTACCATAAGTTGAATAAGAACATGATCAGAGTCGAATTAGGGACCTAAGTGGTAATTAAAGATATCGAAACTCAGTTTATGAGAGACATGATGATATTTGTTTACAACCCAAGGCTAGTTCAGTACATGTGCTCTACTTCTTGAGACTGAGGCTGTATCAACAGCTACTAGTATAGCACACCTCTGATTTTCTTCTTAATATTCAAGGAGCAGTGCGCAAGCCAATTAATTATGTTTAGGAAGTTATTACAGTGTTACATATCACATTCAGATAATGTGCATGAAAACTCACAAATGCCGACTAAAATATGTACCTAAA